TACACGCGAGGGCTTCCGTTACATGCCGCCCAAGGCAATGTCTGCGCGAAAGAAATTTTTTTTGAAATGTCAACAAGCATTTGCATAGGCATACAACCGCTCCAGGCGCTGCTCTGAATATCGGAATGAAATAGGTCGACGACTTCGACGCGCGAACCGAGTTGGCAACACCAAGTTGAGGCGAAAACTTTATGCTGTGAAAGCGCTACGCAAACGGAAGATTAGTTTGTCCCTCCACGGTCATAACGGTGGACGAGGGTCATAATTGAGAATACCACAATTGAGAATAATGCATATATTTATAATAATTTTTTGAAGTAAAACTGCTTTATGCACGCTTTGCTTGGGGAGTAAGCTGGTGAATGTGTCACGAAAGCGATGCGAAGGGTGTGATCGGGCGAGGCGAACGGTTACGCAAACGGTGATTAATTAACGGTGGTAGAGCCACGCAGCAGCCTCGGCTGTTGCACGAATCGGCAGGCTCGTCCGGTTAAGTACCACGACCTCACAGAAGACCGGCGTAGAGTGGAAGTATGACAAATACTTTCACGTTTCGTCTGGTGAGTGAGGTAGCTGGAGCCCAATTTCCAAAAAGGTTGTCAACGCATCTGCTAACCCTCGGGTGTAGCAGATGTCCATGGGTGGCAGTATTCACTTAACATCAGGTGAAGCGTCTGCTCATTTGGCAACTTTTCACATTAAAAAAAAGCTTCAACCAAGTGTAAAGGTTGCAGATGCGGTGCGATCTTTTAATAAAGTGGGCTCACTCACCAGACGAACAAGTATAGCAATACCACTTCAGGCTGGTGTTCTCTGAGGTCGTGGTTCTTCCCCGAACGGACTTGCCCATTCGTGCAACAGCAAAGTCCGCTTGTTGCCTGGCCCTACCGCACTACAAAAATACTATGTTACTGTCACGGAGAGAGCTAAATTTTCATATGATTAACAAGTGGACCCGGCAAACGTTTTACCACATATTCCTGGGGAATTTGTAGGGTAGAAAAAATTTTTTTGCCAAGTACGGACTTCGGCGTCGGGAGTCGTGGGTTCGATCCCCACACGGGACAACTATTTGTGTGACCCACAGATAGCTGTTACGCATCTGGGTGTTTGTCCACGCGAAATTTATGTTTGTAAATCGTCCTTACAACACCAGGGCAATGTTATCCTAAAGTAAGGGCATTGTTATAAAAAATATATATAAAAATGAATTTTGATGAATTTTTAAGGCCTTTTTTCCTTAATACTAGAATATTAACACAATTTTTATAGCTTAGTAACTAACTCGTAACTCTTAACTAAGAAGTTGCCGGCAGCTACGCGATTGTCACCGGAAGTCACAACCGGATACGCCTCTAGCGGGAAGTGTCACGACATCTAACTATATTCGTTTGCAAACCACTTTCAGATGCGCAACATGTTAAGAATATTATGGACAACATGCGAGATTAGCTTTTCTTTATGAGATGGTTTCAAGAGAGCTGATGGTTCACCTAATGTTAAGTGATAACCGCCATCCATGGACATTTGGAACACCCGTAGGACTGCAGATGCGTTGCCGTTTTATAATAAAGTGGGCCCCGGCTACCTCACACACCAGAAGAAACGCAGAAGTATACACTTCACGCCGGCTTTCTGTGAGGTCGTGGTATTTACTCGGACAGACCTGCCCATTCCTGCAACAACCGAAGCTATTGCGTAGCCCTACCAAAGTTTCCTGAATTCGCCCTTTCTCTCACCTTGAATATTTTTTCTATATTTATACAAGATATGAAGTATCCTAAGTACAAATACACTAAAACACTAAACACGCATTTATAATATGGACGCGTTATTACTTTGGTGTTTTAAACAATTAGTATTCATTAATTCTAATTAATGGGCGAACTTTATTAATTTAATATTATCCAGAAGTGACCTTTAAACTTAGACATCAAGCTGTTTAATAACGAGAGTAATAACGAAAGTTTGTTAAAAACATTAAATTTAATATGATTAAAGTAATGAAATTATTTATTTTTTTTATGTGAAAAGTTGCCAAACGAGCAGATGGTTCACCTGATGTGAATACCGCCGCCCACGGACATCTGCTACACCCGAGGGTTACAGATGCGTTGACAACCTTTTGAAGATTGGGCTCCGGCGAAACGCGAAAGTATTTGTCATACTCCCACTTTACGCTGGTCTTCTGTGAGCTCGTGGTACTTACCCGCACGGGCCTGTCCATTCGTTGCTGCCCATAGGCTGTTGCGTGGCTGTTTACTTGCTAGTGCCGGAATATTGGAAAGTTCAAAGAAGTGTGAAAGAAGTGCGAGTCGGACTCGCACATGAAGGGTTCCGTACCCTTAACTATAAAAACGGCAAAACAAATCATGTCTATAGTATGGGAAACCCACTAAAATATGTTTTAGTATTTTTTGTTACAGCGGCAACAGCAATACATCATCTGTGAAAATTTCAACTGTCTAACTGTTACGGTTCATGAGATACAGCCATGAGGACAGATAGACAAACAAACGGATAGACAGCGGAGTCTTATTAATAGGGTCCCGTTTTACCCTTGGAGTACGGACCCCTAAAAATTAAGTGTGAAGTGTAAGTTTTACAATTAAATAGTCATTACGTCCGGTAAGTGCCGAAGCTTTGTATTAGTTACGTTAAAATTTAACGTTAGATTTTACATTCTCTTCCTTCTTTTTTTTGTATAAACAATACGAAAAAATTTGCAGTAATTTTCGTGCGTATGTGTTATAAATACCTAATACCTTTAAACGAGCAATTCTTGTATATATCGGAATCTCGGAAACAGCTCCAGCGATTTTCATGAAATTTAGTATGTGCGTAGATTCGGGGGCGAAAAATCGATCTAGCTAGGTTTCATTTTTAGAAAATGCTTTTATCCCTCTTTTAAGGGAATGAAAAATATCATTCGAATATGACGGTAAATTTCGCCGAAAAAAAATAATGTTATAATAGCTCGGTTGGTAATCTGGCGGCCCCGAAACAGAAGGCCGCGGTTCGTCTCACCATCATTTACACACTTTTTTTTTTTCTATACCAGATCATTGCTTTCTTCTTTTTTTCAATTTCCAAATACACGATTTACCAATAAAAATCCTCTAAGTTCTGTACATTATAAATAATATATGAATGTTGAAACTACCCTGATTGACGACCCAATTAGCGTAGTGACCCTGTCCACTGCTCCAGAGGGTTTGGGTTCGAGCTCCACTACTGGAAAAATATTGTGTGAAGAACATAGTGTGTTACATATCCGTTCCCATAAAAACTGCAATTAAGCAGCGTCTTCTTCAACACTTCTACAATCGCACGAGTCAAGTTTTGCTGAAACCACGTAAACGGATAACACAGCGTTCATGGAAGTGTTGTCAGACGACACAGCTATTTCCCACGATGGACAATACAGCTGACGCCCATGGATACGTTGCCAGTCGACACCGCTGCTTAGCGTATTGGAGAACTATCGTTAACATTTCATTTTAGTAGGACAACCATTCTGTATCTAGCATCAGGATCAGACGTAGGTTAAGCTAGCTATAGTTCGATTATAGTTTAAATGGTAAGTTTATAATAAATAAGTTAGAGCAAATGGTTTTTTTTTATTCAGTCCTCCAACAGCGTCTCCTATAATTAGTGTTTTTCTAATGTATTCCCGTAATATATTTTTTATTTACAAAAGAAAAGTACATTTAGTTATGTTTATCAGTTACCTAATTCCCAATTCAATTGCTTAGTTTGGTAAATAAAGGTGTATAAATATTTTTATTTTTTATATGCAAAGGGCTTTTATCGTTACCACTTACCAGCGTTCACGAAACTAACAGTATATGTTAGTCACAGGGCTGGAAAACAACAACTATACGAAACATACAATATCGTAGCAATGTGCTACGAAATGCTACGCCAAAGGAGCACTGTAAACGGGCGCGTCAACGACAATTGGCACGCCACCTCCTGTTGCGACTGATTTACGTCGCGCGATATGCAAATGTCCGCCACGGTCGAGGAATGTAAAGCGAGCAAACAATATAACGTCTTCTATGCGTTTTGTTTTTGTTAAGTTGTTTTTGTTCTTTTTGTACACAATTACAACAAATCGTATATTATTTTTTTCATACCTTTAACTGTCAAAAATTAATCAACTTTAAAAAAAGTATTTCCATTCCCCCTACAGAATAAATACTACTTCGTTCGGCGGGGCTTCACCCTTTTGCTGGTACATTCCACGCACAAGAACAAAGCCATTCGCATGGTCATTTATCATCCGTAAGGCTAAGGAATGGAACAACCTGCCGGCGTCGGTCTTACCATCCGATTATAACGTAGGCGTCTTCAAGGCAAGAGTGAATAGGCTTTTACTGAGCTAACTCGCCTACCATCCACGGCTGCATCGCCATTCACCATCAGGTGGGATGGCAGTCAAGCGCTAGGCAGTTCCATATAAAAAAAGCTGTAATTTTCATTTAAAGTACTTATCAGAAAACTGGTGAAGGAAACATTTCTATAAGTGTCTGAGGTCCTCCGATAAAAGTTAGATGAAAAGAATAGATACTACACTTTGATCTTAGCCAAAAGGCCGAGAAGCGATAAAATTTTATCGTTCTCTGTGATAACGTGTGAAGGAAAGACAAACCAAAAAATCTTTCGTACAAAACAGGATGTAGTATCTATATTTTCGTGTAAATTTACTTCATATGTGAAGATATTATTCAATCGTTATTGACTGCTATTATACATGTAACGTAACTAAGAAGTAATAGCGTAATACCTATAATAGACTAGACTACAGTTATAGACTAATGTAAAACTGGTCCAAAGAGGAAACTATAAAAGACATTGCCGAAATATAAATTTATTAACAATTTAGACCACACTTATCTCAGTACATTATACCAATTTGTCCGAAAATAATAAATTTTGGTGCCGAATATCACTTGATCAGAGTACACCTGCCGCGTTTATTGTAAGACCACGCTTCAGTAGCACGGCTCCGGGCAAGGTGTTAAGCACGGGTAGTAGCACGGGGGTGGCGGGCAGGGGTCAGGGCAGGGCTCCGGACAGGGCGGCGGGCAGGGGGGCGGGCAGGGCGGCAGGCAGGGGACACACTCGGGCGTGTACACGCACGCTTGTCCGACGCAAGGCGGCAGGGATCGTGGTATGCATATCGTGGGTGGAGATATGCAGGGGTCCCCCTGGCTCCCCACGCATACGGTGTCTCCGTTGTTGGTTCTGTAGCAACGCCACGGGGCCGCCGTAGCGCACCCGAGGATAGCTGAAACACCAACTGTTAATCACTCCATTTTATTTGTGAGCCGTGATAGCTCAGAGTACGGACGCTCGCCTTTAATTCAATATACTCGAACAACCTGAGTTAGAGTTTTTAACTTTAATTGCTGACCTATCACGTGCTCTGCGGTGAACGAAAACATCGTGAGGAAACCTGCATATTTTCGAAATAATAAAAAAAAAATTTTTCGAAGTCCGCCAATCCGCAGTGGGGCCGTGTGGTGGACTATGCCCTGATACCCTCTGTACAGAGGAGACCTTCCGCCCAGCAGTGGGACATTTATAGGCTGATACTTTACTTTTACATTTTATTTTATTTATTTTATCAGCACAAAATATAGTATAATTTATCTGTTCTTAGCTATAGGGCCAATTCTAGTCCATCGCTGTTACCTTTTAAACAGATTACGCTGAAACCACCACGTTTCACCATCTCCGTTAACTCATGGCTTACTTGGTAGAGTCAATAGAAGTCACGCCTATTGTATATTAGTATCTAAACAGAAGCGTGATGAGACTACAAACTGTTTGTTTATTTACCTGAGAAGGTGGCAAACCAGCAGTCGGTTCACCTGATGTCAAGTGATAAGCGCCGCCCATTTAAAACACCCTATTATAAAGTGGGCCCCTGCCACCTCACTCACCAGACGAAACGCAAAATTACAACACTTCGACTTCACGCCGGTCTGTGAATTCTTGGTACTCACCCGGATGGATCTGCCCATTCGTGCAACAGCCGAGGCTGCCACAGTTACCACAGTAAAAAGCACACACGTGAACTTACCGAACATCAGTAGTGCCGTGTAGCCCATGCTTGCCGACTGTGACCACCCACTATCAACTCGCCATCTTTTATAGCTTGGTCCCATGTCAAACGCATCGGTTCCCTCGACGCTCCACCGACCGTAACTCAACATCGAACAAGGTTACTCTCAGTTTACATTTACGCTTAGTTAAGAGAGGTGGAGAGATCTCTTGGTTCAACTGGTCCATCAGACGCAGCTTAGGATATGCTCAAAGATGCAGCTGGTATTCTTATACTCAACCTATATACATCGCGTTACCTATTAGACATAATAGATTGACTTAATACGGAGGGTAGTGCATAGGACTTGGGACATATAAGACATTTAATCCGACACTTCACCTGTAAAAATTATGTAACATTTGGTTACACTGTTTTAAAATTAGAAAAAACAACACCTTAGTAATAAACTAAAAAATAAAATAGCACAATAGTAATTTAAAAAAATCATGAAAGTAAAACAAAACTAATAACTTATAAATATTGAATTAAATTTTAAAGTTTTTTATAGTGCTGATCTTTGTACTTAAGATTGAACATTAAAACATGTAGAAAATATACGAAAAGATTGTCGCCGCTGTGGGAATCGAACCCACGTCTTCGGCATTCGCGGCCTGACGCTATAGCCACTGAGCTAAACGGCTGATAGCCACAACGACGAAAATCTTAACGCCTTCTTTCTACATTGTTATTTAGCATTTGAAGCAATGCTTCAAATCTTGAAGCAGGCTTGCCACGCAGCAGTCTTGGCTGTTGCACGAATGGGCAGGCTCGTCCGGTTAAGCACCACGACCTCACAGAAGACCGGCGTAAAGTGGAAGTATAATACTTTCGCGTTTCGTCTGGTGAGTGAGGTGGCCGGTGCCCAATTTTCAAAAGGTTGTCAACGCATTTGCAACCCTCGAGTGTGGTAGATGTCAATGGGCGGCGGTATTCACTTAACATCAGGTGAACCGTCTGCTCGCTTGGCAACTTTTCACATAAAAAAGACAATATGAAGCTCTTTCACTCGAATTCGTTACAACGTTAAAATTGAGTCAATGAAAATGTCTTTTGTATAAATATGTTCACATAAAAAGAAACCCACATTTATTTGTCGTTGTTCACATGATGTTCCGGGCACTTATAACAAACGCTCCCGTAACATGACTAAGTACTCTTGAGTACACGAGTGACAATATAGGTATCCGGTCTCGCGCCGTTTGTCATTGTAATGGCACATTAAGACGCTGGTGGAATATTTAATGACCCCGGAATAGTATAGAAGGGAGTCCTTTTTACGTTGCATTCGGTATCTACGATTTAAGGATTGTTGCGGGGCTAAAAAATAGGTAACAGTTGTCTTACTCAAGCGCTTAACTTTTAGTTTAGTATGAAACTTAAAAATGTATAGATAAAATTGTCGCAAACTTATCGACACTGCCAGGATCAGAACCTGTGCTGAATTACCCATCCAGAGAGTTTAGCCATTAAGCTTAGAGGTCGACATCCTCACGGCTATAATCGACTTCGATTTTTTGCATATTTAGCAATGCCTTTTTATATTACAAGTCTCTTCAAAGTTAAGACTACAACATACTAGCAGATGGGATACAAGCCAAAAGAAAGCTGGGCCATTTTAAAAATAGCTTACAATATATGCATCGCAGAAACAATAATATATCGGTTTTTACCGATAATCTGCTCACGTTACGTTTTGCTTGTTGCATTGTTAACTTTTGTAAGCCCACGCAACAGTCTTCAATGTTGCACAAATGGGCAGCTCCATCCGGTTAATTACCACGACCTCACAGAAGAGCGGAAGTGGAAATATTATATTTCGGCTTTTCGTCTGGTGAGTGAGGAGGCCCACCTTATTAAAATGTGGCACCGCATTTGCAACCCTACGGGTGTTGCAAATGTCCATGGATGGCGGTTATCGCTTAACATCAGGTGAACCGCCAGACATCATCCACGTAAAGAAAAGCTAATCTCCCATATTTTCCATAATATTCTTAATATTTTGCGTCTCTGAAAGTGGTTTGCAAACGAATATAGTTAGACTAGCTGACCCGGCAAAAGCTGTTTTGCCATATAAATTATTTGTAGGGTAGAAAAAAATGTTTGAGGTGAACCACCCTTAACATTTAGGGGGATGAAAAATAGATGTTGTCAGATTCTTCACCCTGGCCGATACGCACACAAAATTTCACGAAAATCGGTCAATGCCGTTTCGGAGGAGTTCAATTACAAACACCGTGACACGAGAATTTTATATATTAGATGTCGTTACATTTCTTGCTAGAAGTGTATCAGTTGTCAATCGGTGACAATCGCATAGCTGCCGGCAACCATCTCAGTTACCAGCTAGTTAGTGATAAAGTGGCAAACGAGCTGGCGATTCACCTGATGTTAAGTGATAACAGCAGCCCACAGATGCGTTGCCACCTTTTAATAAAGTGGGCCCCGGCTCCCGCACTTACCAGACGATACGCAGAAGTGTAACACTTCTACTTGACGCTGGTCTTCTGTGAGGTCGTGGTACTAACCCAGAAGGACCTGCCTATTCGTGCAACAGCGAACGCGGTTGCGTGGTCCTACCACAGTGAGTAGTTACTTTATAACCTTTGAAATTGTGTTAATATTCTAATATTAAGGGGAAAAGGCAGAAAGATAACCTTAAAAATTCATCAAAAAGTCATTGTTCAATGGAAGAATCAAGGCGCAGTGGTCAAGGTATTGGCTTCGGCGTCGGGTGTCGTGGGTTCGATTGACCCAAAATCTAGTTGGCCTAGAATTTTTTAAGTATTTTAAATTTTTTTATAATGCTAATCTCTGCACTATAAAAAAAATTGTGTAAATGGCCACGAATGCCGAAGACGTGGGTCGATTCCCATATCGGCGACAATCTTTTCGTAGTTCTTCTACAAATTTTAATGGCCTTGAATTGTTAATTTTGGTTAAAAATAATTCTAAAATTATATTTTATAATTATACATAGGTAATATTAGCTTTAATATATGCATTAATTGTAATTGCATATTACAATTAATACATATATTTAAGCTTTGTTATCTTAAGTCTAGTTTAAGTTTCTTGAATTTTAATGTATAGTGGTAATTAGTAATTTTGTAACAGTAATTTTTAATTTATATAATTTTCAATTGTAATATGACCTGTACACGAATAATTATGTCATTTCGTATCTCAGTTTCCTCGATACAGGCTTACCTAGTGAGGAGCCCAATGGAAATCATATTTATACTGAATGGTTTAATCCTTCGTCAGCAAAATACTTGCATTTGTTTTATTTTTATTTGTTATAATAACTATGTTTTATTTTTTTGCTGTAATAAAAATATCTTTTCATTTATTCATTTTCAATACGATAAAAAGGTACGGGCAAATAGATTTTCACGAAAACTTGTAGTACCAAAATTTCGCTCAATTTATAAAATAAAAAAATCAATATATAAAATCTTTAAAAATATATAGAAAATAAAATTTATGAATAATACTTATTTTTTATCATTATGTGTAATATTTAAGAAAAGTTAGTGTGTATTGACTTAGGACCTTGTTGTTGTTGTGGTTGACTAGTAATCTTATAAGAGTACCTTTTTTTACCTTTTAAGGTACGGAACGCTAAAAAGGTATGATTGGCGTTCAACTGCGATATCAGAAATTAAATCTGATTTGAACATTATTCTATTAGAATATGTAACTTATAGAACAATAGCTTCGCACGGGTGCAATACTGAATGTTTGTTTTCGATGTCGCATTAGAAACCTCTAAAATTATCAGTGTTTCTCTACTATATTAAACATGGATTATACATATAACACTTCCTCTTGAATCACTCTATCTAGTAAAGAAAACCGCATCAAGATCCGTTGCGTAGTTTTAAAGATCTAAGCATATATAGGGACAGACAGACAGCGGGACTTTGGTTTATACTATGTAGTGATTCTGTGAATACTAAAGTAGACGCGTCTCAACTGTGTCACGTGCGAGTGCAGTTCGTTTGATTCCGTATTGATATTTGGACAAGTACTATGTTAACAGACCCTCAAACGAGTATAAACGGAACTAATACAGAGTTACTTTCATGGCCGAGTGTGAAATATTATCATTTCGCCTTCAAAATCAAATCAAAGTCAAAATCATTTATTCATGAGAAACATACATTTCATCTATCGATATTCATTTTCACTACCAACGTTTCGTAATGAGATTCCTCTAACGGAGAAGAATGATGTCGAGTAATTATTATTTTTTTACTTTGATTTTTTTTAGTCTTCCTTCTGGTCAATGGCCATCAAGGCGTACACCACCCATTAAGCTTGCAAATTTTTAACATAAAATAGTATTAAGTAGTTATTAGTAAGTTGTTACCGCCATTAAAATGTCATTTTAGTTTACATTACAGTAATTTATTTTAATTAGGGTATAAGTTCATAATAAGAGAGCTGTGTTCACCTAAAATTGTCGGAACATCTACGAGTTTTTTTTTTTACTTTCTTAATCAATTTGATCGCTTTATGTGCCCAATATTATCGTACCTTAAGAAAATAAATAAATAGTAAGAAGTTTGGCGAGTAAATTATCTTTCCATTATTTAAATAATCGTTCCATTTTCGTCACACGTAAATTGACCAAATATAAACTTTGCACGGATAATGAGGATATATATTTTTTTTATCTCTGTTTACATATTATAGCGAAACATTTACACAAAGCTATTGAGCCCAATCAAACAGTTAGAATAACTGGAAAATATTTTATAACAAAACCGTAAACCGTTCAAAGTTTATCCGGTAGATAGGTACGGAAGTAATTTGGACCTTACCCTTTGCTGTTAAGATATACTTTTGAGATTTACGTGAGTTCGTTTTAGGGATTGACACGGATCACTTCTATATAAATATGGGTACGTTTGCTTTTACACTTTAGACGACAGCGAGATGGCGTGGGGCAAGATCTTTTGGTTATCCGGTGAATATTTAATTTCCTTATTTCCTAAATCGCACCATTCCTTTACAATACTTGCCACTTTCTCAATGAGGAAGGAAAGTTTACATGAGAATTTTAACAAAGAAACATAAACCAATCGAATTGATAACCTCCTCCTTTTGAAGTCGGTTAAAAATACAGGAAATACATGAGGAAGAATAATTCTAACTATAAATTTTAAACCGACTTCGAAATAGGGGGAGATTCTCAATTCTGTTGTATTTTTTTTATCTTTATTACCTCACAACTCGTTTATCGGACCGGAGAACTACCACGACCACACAGAAGACCGGCGTGAAATGGAAGTGTTATACTGCCGCGTTTCGTCTGGCGAGTGAGGTAGCCGGGGCCCACTTTATTATAAACTGGCAACGCATCTGCAACCCCACGGGTGTGGCAAATATCCATGGGCGGTAATCATTTAACATCAGGTGAACCGCCAGCTCGCTTACCACGCTCGGCATCCTACAGTTCTCCTCCTGGGCGAGGCCATGAGCCAGCCACTGCCCGAGCCAGAACCGCAGTACCCTTGCGAGCCCGACTACCCCCCGTGTGACCCCTGCGCCCCCGTGCCGCCATGCGACCCCTGCCCGGAGCCATGCGACCCCTGCCCGGAAGAAGGCGGCGTCGTCCAGATAGGACCCTGCAACCCGTGCGAGCCTCCTGTCAACTATGTGTACGGACAAGCGCCAGCAGGTAAGCGATTGTTGAATAAGATCAGAACTTTTTTTTATGTGGACAACTGCCAAGCGAGCAGGTGGTTCACCTGATGTTAATTGAATACCGCCGCCCATGGACATCTGCTACACAAGACGGTTGCAGATGCGTTGACTTTGTAAATTGGGCTCCAGCTACCTCACTCACCAGATAAAACGCAGAAGTATGACACTTCACGCCACTTCAAGCCGGTCTTCTGTGAGGTCGTGGTACTTACTCGGACGAGCTAGCCCATTCCTGCAACAGCCGAGGCTGCTGGGTGGCCTTAACACCGTAAAACTTGCTTGCGGTAAGTCTGCAGACAAGTGATGTCCACAGCAAAGCCTTAAAAAAGAATTTCATAGCTAAGATCTCTTCCTAATGATATTTTTTTATTATTTCACGTGGACAGACAACCAGACAAATAGTTGTCGAGTGTGGGAATCGAGCCCACGACGCCCAGCACCGAAATCAATTGTTTAGCTACTGCGCCATGTGGTCAATAATCTGGAACTGTTATCAACGTTCATCGACAATTTCAGGCTCAATCCTCATCAGGCCTGGGCAAGTCCGCTTCAGGACTCCGCAGCCAATCGTCGTCCGCCCAGGGCCCATACGTTTGCCAGCTCCGGCGGCGATCTGGGTGAAGCCAGCGCCAGTTCAACCGGACACGCCTGCCCCTATCTGCGTCAAGCCACCCCCGGTTCAACCACCGACCCCAGCACCCATCGAAGTCAGGCCAAAACCAGTGTACCCACCGAGACCCGCTCCTATCCTCGTCAGACCGGCACCCGTCCAGCCACCTAAGCCCTCCCCAATTAAAGTAAGTACCACGTGAATACTCAGTGAGGTAACAGCTTATATTTGGCTCACTGCTAGGTAAACACCTTCTTTCTACAGAGGTTAGTATGGCGTAGTCTGCTACGCGACCCACTACGGATTGACTTCTTCGAAAATATTTTTTTTATGATTTATAAAATGTTCAGGTTTACTAACGATTTTTTACTTCACAGTTGACGTCTTAACCTATTACGACAGCACTTAAAATTGCAATTAACAATTTCATTGGACCCACCACCGGAATTTAAACATAGCTTGTTCTATTCTAAATTGAAACCGAACTTGGGTGTCCGCACTGACCTATCACTTCTTTTAATTAGTTATAAAAGGTATCAAATTATAGTGATTCATGTGATGGTATGAAAAGACCAAATACAAGAAAACCTGCTATACTAGTATTATTATCATCATCATTATTTCGGCCTCCAGCCTTCGAGATATAAGAGTGTGTTATTAAAGACACAAATAATTCATTGACTATTCTATAAAACAGGTACCAACTACTCTTACTCCTCCCAGTGTATATAAATTGCGTAGTTATCAAACCAACCGAACCAATCAATAGTTATTAGTCCAATTAAAATTTTACATCATTGTGCGTCTGTTTTGTCTACTTCATAAATCTTATCCATCTTTAATTAAACCCTTTGTTTATGCTTGAGTTCTGTACTAAATTGATCCGAACAATGGAAACCTACAGATGCTCACTACTTGAATTAGGAGTCCACATCAGCTTTGCTATATACATATACGTAGTTATCTTACAGGACAGTAACAGCACTTAGCGTTCGCATCATAAAAGGATGTATAACAATTTGGAATTGTCTTGTATTCTGTGACAGTACTGATATAAAGTAAAAAAGGAAAGTAACATCAAAGGCATCCTCTGTACAGACAGATCGGGACATATCTTCGAAATATTTTCTGATGTAGCAACATTTATTTATGTTCCCATTACACCGTTGCCCGAATAGAACTGACGGTTTTAACGTAACTAGGTACAACCAGAACCGGTGCAGCCACCCAACCCAGATCTGCTCGTGGTGAGGCCACCAAGGATCGTGGTGCCCAGCCCCCCAGTGATCTGCTTCCAGCCCAACCCACCGTCGAGCTTCAAGACCCTGGGCTGCGCATTGGTCTCGCTTTACCAACCGTGCCCTGACCCATGCCCACCGCCACCTTGCCCCCCTTGTCTGTCTCCCTGCCTACCCTGCCTCCCCCCTTGCCTACCCTGCCTCCCCCCTTGCCTGCCACCATGCGCTTAATAGACCACACAACCAGTTAACCGGAGTCTGACCTTGACTTAACCTTCTATATTAGTTATAATGTATTTATGTATATCATATAATAGGCTACGTTTGCATTCGTCTGTTTGCGATTGAAATAAAGTGCGGGTATTTTGAGCATTATCTTCTTTGTTTTGTTTTATTTCTTTCCGTTTGAAGAATTCTCCGGCTATAATCAGATGAAATCAATTTATTTATTCTTCAATGAACTCAGTATTCGTTATATTATGGTTTAATTATTATAAGTGATAAATAAAGGTCACTTAAATATTAAGAATAATGTAGACATACATAACTTTATTTATTTCCCAAAAATAATACATACATTTTCAATAAACTTTTGATATGATTTTTTTTTACATCAGACGCTAATTTTCCAGTTTTCGGATAATTTTAATAAAGATTTAAAAATTGGTAAACTCTCTCTCCGGTAACAAACTATGAAACTTCAAATCAGCTTCTGAACTTTTTTTTGTTTGCTTATTAACACTGTAGATAAAGGAGTGATTCTGGATCCAAATGCATGCCGAGTTATTTTTTTTTCTTTGAGACAGTTTAGAGTAATTAGGTGAGGGGCACACCGATCTGCCATGGTGGAGTGTTGGCGGAGTCCACTCCGGAATTAGTGGGGTTTATAGTAAGGGGACTGCTGCATGTGCTAGACCTAACCCCAACCCGCCAAGACCGAGACCACCGAGCTGTAGAGGTAGACCCAAGGCGCCCAGACCCAGCAAGTTAGGAGAGCTCTCACAGACAGTAGAAGAACCACCACCAACAACTGGTACGCCAGGATACGGGACTCCTAATGTTCCAACGCCCAAAAGATTCGGAATCCCTCCCCCGATACCATACGGCAATCCTAGCGGCAGTCCGTAAAGCGGATTAAGACCAAGTCCGCCTAATCCAACCGTATTGGGCGCGCTCTCGCAGACGGTAGTCGATCCCAGTGCGGGGTTAAGCAGCCCAGGCAAGCCCAGGGGGCTGGAGAAAGCTGGCAAGACTCCAGCCACCCCAAGCCCAGACGGGAGGCCGTACGGGTAATAGGGGAGGTTGGATGCCGACTCGCAGACCGTGGCACTGTTTGGATATGCCTGCGCCGATTCGCAGACAGTCGCCTGCCCCAAGGGGTTACAGCGTGCGGTGTAGATCAATGCTGGAATCACAAATGATCAGTTCGATAAACATTCCAAAGTCAAATCATTGCGTCTATTCGTAAAGCAATCCCTATTATCTTAACCACTGATTCGTTATTCATCGCGCTTTATTAAATGTCTGATGTATGGGCATCACCATCAGTGTCAGTCAGATGACCCTATTGGCGTGGGGAGTAGTGACCCCGCTTCTTGCGCCAGAGGGTGTGGGTTCGATCCCCACCACTGGGAAAATATTGTGTGATGAACATCGTGCTTTTCCAGTGTCCGGGTGTTTACATATGTATAATAAGTATTTATTTACAAAAGAAAAGTATTTTAAGCATGTTTATCCGTTTTCTAGTACCCATAGTACAAGCGTTGCTTAGTTTGGTGTTAGAAAACGTTGTGTAATAAATGTGTCAGTAAAAAAATATTAAAATTTATGAATTTTTCTGTTAATTTTACTGAAAAATTACTGACTAACATTCAAATAATGCGTAACATGTGACTCTATATCTAAACGTATTTCTGCATTTTATATCCATCTCTTATATTTATCAAGTACAAGTTTTGCCTTTTTTATTAAAAATTCATTTTAATTTTACTATAGGTATTAGGTGGAAGGCACATATCATCAACTTTTAATTTATAATATTTTTACATTTAAATTTAGTTTGGCAGACCAATATTTTTTTAGTAGGCGCGAAAATTATTGCTTCTGCTAACTCATTGATCTGCACAATGGCACAACGATACAATGCAGTACTTTCTAAATAAACTAAATGTCTAAATAGACAGTATTGAAACTCACCAAAGATGAAATATAACCGTGCGTAAGTCATGATCTGTGAATCTTGTTCCAAATCTGCGTTGGATCGGTTCATTTGCTCTTTATATACGAATAATTCAATTGAGCCATTGCTGATATTACACGGTTCACGGAACTTCAACTCACAATCGAATCTGAGAATGTTTTCATACGATAACATTCCTTAATAACTAATTCCTAAGTTTGTGTTACTGGTGAGCAGTGAGTCTATTTCATTAAGTGTTAGAACAAAGGGATTCTAAATGTGGACATCTTGATTCTCATTAAAATTTGGTAGGTTACTTTAATAAAAAATTATATAATACAAAATGGCGTAATACTGAATGGTTAATAATTAAATAAAGAAAGGAAGAGATGAAACTATCGCCGTGTTTTATCATCGATAGCTGACGTTTCGGCTATTGAGTAAGGTAACCGGAATATTTACCCAACTAACACCTTTGAACAACATCGCTATTTTAGCCAACATTTTAACTGTAGTAGGGCCGCGCAACGGTCTTCGTTGTAACACGAATACTCTCCGGGAAACTACCGCACATTGTCAGAACACCGACGTGAAGTGGATTTTTCATACTTCAGCGTTTCGTCCGTTGAGTAAGGTAGCCGGCGGTGCTGTTGGTACAATGAAAAGGCATCTGCGAACACATATGTTAGCAGATCTACACCTGTAGGTGTTGTCCATGGGCAGCGGTAATCACCGGTTAACTGGTAATCCGCCAGGTTGGTTGTCAACCTCTCACATGGAACCACGTGCTCACTAGCCATATGTTAATTAATATCAAATCCAATTTTCTAGCGGTTCAATAAACTAATGTTGTGCATAGTACTGAAGATTAACTATTATTAGCGAAATACAGAAGCACATTCGGCCTAGTGTAGTCGTGTACAGTATATCAAATATCTGTAGATATATATCATATGTTTTTTTTTATTTAAATAATACCTAACCAATTACTACCTAACTCGTTTATAGAGTAATTTACGAAGCTACTGATTCTGACCATGGACGCTTTTGAGTGAAATGTCATGAGTCAAAGATTAAATTACAACACGAAAAATCCGCAAACAACTTTTATTTAAAAAACTATAAAAAAAATTTATCAAAACCGGCCAAGTGCGAGTCGGGCTCGCGCACGAGGAGTACCGTACCATTATACAAAAACGGCAAAAAATCATGTGTATTGTATGGGAGCCCCACATAAATATTTCTTTATTCTGTTTTTATATTGTATTATAGCGTTAGGCAACAGAAATACATGATCTGTGAAAATTTCAATTTTCTAACTATCACGGTTCATGAGATATAACCTGGTGACTGACAGACGAACAGACAGACAGCGAAGTCTTAGTAAAAGGGTAAACCATTTGTGTACGGAACCCTAAAAAGTGCAAATCTGTGTAGCAGCATAAGACTATGAAACGACCTTTAAATTCACTCCGTTTATAAATATCTTGTGTAATTTTATAAGTACTAACAATATAAGTCTGTAAACTAATTTTGGTGATGGGATAGTAAATGTTTTTTTATTCTTTTTGTAGATTCGGAAGTATCACACAAACTGTTTTTTTTTTACTACCAAGTGTGACTCCCATGACAGACTTGATATTGGCAAAATTCTTTTATATTAATTTAAAAGCGGTAATCAAAGAAGAACTTTTTTACTGTTACACGGTAAAACAACTGTTACACGGTGAAACTCTTATGAGTTCGGTAAAACTCTTAAGAGCTTATGTTTATACCTACCAGTTTAATATATTTTTAATTTTTTTCTTATACAAATAAATTTAAAAAAAAGAAGAAAGAAGGTATAACTCCTCAACAATTAGTAACAACAATTTTGTGTGTACAAATCTCCTAGACAGCTCATTGCCACTCGATAGCCGACTCTGACGGGCAATTTGGGCAAGAGACTGTACTTGATCTTCAACTGCCTTCGCCTCAAATCCACGCCCAGTCCAACGCTGGGCGCGCAGACAGCCGCAGAGACCAGAAGACCTGCAGAGAACTTTGATGATGAGGAAAGTGCCCGGAGCTAAGTGTGAAAACGGGACAAGTATCATGGAATATGGCCAGGATTGCTGGAATAACAAAATGTGAATATTTGATCATTCATACATGACTGTGGCAGCACGTATGGGCAGGCCCGTCCGGGTAAGTACCACGACCTCACAGAAGACCGGCGTGAAATAGAAGTGTTTACGCTTCTTCGTTTCGTCTGGTGAGTGAGGTCGCCGGCCTTAAAAGGAGGTAATGCATATGTAACTCTATAGTTTTATAAATGGGCGGCGGTTATCACTTAACATCAGGTGAACCTTCTCACATAAAAAAAACAGTTATGTTGCGAGATTCCGACAGTTGATGTAGTTTAATAAAACGCCTAGTTCTACAGCAGCGTGAAGATAAGAAATTAAAAATATTATTACCCATAAATATTAAAATTTTCGAAGGTGACATTATTTCACTGTGTTTATATCCAGAGAGTTAATTAAAACGTAATGGGGTTTTATAATGTTTTGAGTTTATAAAGCACGGATTTGCGGATTTTCTTCGGAGTATAATCGATTTAGTCTCTGTCAACATTTTCTAAGTTGCGTAGATATTGAATAGCCGTACGCCGTTGCTGGCGGAATGTCGAATCTCTAGTCTTGGATTCGATTCCATCGTCAATTTACTTATCATAAAACTCTTCTTTATGTACCTGTACAGATATACAATATTGCGTTCATACTATACTATAAAAATCAGTAATTTGCCAGAATACAAAATTTGTTGTTAACAATACATTTAAAATGTTCAACAAATGTATTCTACCTGATTTCGGTGTGTAAATATTAGTGAAACAGTGTAACATTCGAAGCACACTTATAGAAGTCAAAGTTCCAGTACACCTGATGTTAAGTGAATACCGACGCCCATGGACATCTGCTACACCCGAGGGTTACAGATGCGTTGACAACCTTTTGAAAATTGGGCTCCGGCCACCTCACTCACCAGACGAAACGCGAAAGTATTACACTCCCACTTTACGCTGGTCTTCTGTGAGCTCGTGGTACCTACCCGGACGGGCCTGCCCGTTCGTGCAACAGCCGAGGCTGCTGCGTGGCCCTACCACCGTGAAAGATCTGTGTTTGATAAGATCTCGGTTTGATAAGACCCCATGGCGGCTGTTCAACCGACATCAAAAACGGAGATTCATATTTCGGTTGTATTCGTTTATATTTCTTACCTCATTACTCCATCATTTACAAACCGATTGGCCGCGATTTGCGCACAATGGCATACCTCTATCACTTTATTTATATAAAATTGGCAAATCGTTTACAGGCTGCCGATGTACGCATATTCAAAGATCTAAAATCGACCCTTCCGCAAGGTTATTAATTAATTTAATTATTCTCTATGGACACAAAATATGTACGTAGGCCGACTTAATGCTATCGGCATTATCTTCCAGTAAACCTTGCGGGACTCAGAGTAGTTTAAGTGGTTGCATTAATTAACAAATTGCATAAATTAACAAATCAGGGCATCATCACAAAACAATAAAAAAAACCGGTCAAATGCGAGTCTGACTCGCGCACGAAGGTTTCCGTATTATCTATTAAAAAAGCATAAAAATCACATAAATAATTTTTTTATTCTGTTTTTTACTATTTGCCGTTAATATAGTATTAAAGACTGTAGGTTGGTCGGCCAAAATAAAATAGTGAGGATAGCGTAAACAACTTTATGTATTAATTAGACTACTTCCTACTTATTAGGACAGAGTAACGTCCTATACAAAGGATAAAGTGTTTTTCCCTATCACTGAAACATTATGCGCTTATATACAAAAATATAATGAGTCATCACAACTACATTACAAATCAATGCACTTATTTAATTACTAATACAGTTAATAAGATTGACCTATTAAATTATATATTATTATTAAGCACGGTTTATTACATAATATTATACCAGATATGGTTCAATGTTTATTAAGTATAATTATTGTTATTGCTCGTATATTAAGCAGTGTTGCCAGTGGACTGTAACAATAGCGACAACAGAAATATATCATCTGTGAAAATTTCAACAATCTAACTATCACGGTTCATGAGATACAGCCCGGTGTTAGACGGACAGACCGACAGCGGAGTCTTAGTAACAGGGTCCCGTTTTACCCTTTGGGTACGGAACAAAAAAGGGTTCGAACCCACAACTAAGCTCGTGAACGGAGCTTACGACCGCTGCGCAGTTACGCACCTGGATATTTTGATATAAAACCGCATTAGAAACGCTTTGACCGTCAGCCGTGCGTTTCAATTTTCAAAAACAATAACTGTCCGACAATTGTAATATCGACCTTATCCTTCATGAATTAGGACACGGTCTCCAATGTAATCAATTACGACGGCGCGGGGTAGAAATACAATAAAAAGTGAGTACAGGCGATATATCAATATTTTTAATTTTATAACTATCAAGTCGATATGTACTTAAGGGCATTTATAATTACATTTGGTGAGTATTCCGACAGTTGATTGAGAAGTGTACTCCTTAGTCTATACCTTTTTTTTATTTAAAATTTTAGCAAGCGAGTTGTGGTTCACCTAACGTTAACGGCCGGTCATCTCATGATTATCAATGCGGTTTTTTTTTTACACCAGAATATCTCGCAGACGGTTGAATTTTTTCCTGCGTAGTTGACACTTATCATTACCTATATTTTGGACAATTCGCACAATTTCTTTATAAATTATAGCCTATGTGTTATTCTGATGTGTAAGCTATATTATCGTAAAGTTTCATTGAAATCTGTTCAGTTGTTTTTGCATGAAAGAAAGTAACAAACAGCCATACATACAAACTTTATATATATCGCGTTTATAATTAGCAGTAGTAGTTTAGTATACATATAGAAGTAAAGATAGTGTTACGGAACCTTTGATGCGTGTGTCCGACTCGCACCTGGTAAAGGTATTCAACGGTAGCCATCGAGTGTTGTCAAGGTCTATGGGCTGCGGTATTCAATAAAATCAGGTGACCCATCTGCTCGCTTGACAATTTATCACGTAAACACACTTTTGCTAAATTTCTTCTCTCTTCTAAAGGTATTCTCGTGTCCGGTCCAGAGCAATGTCTTTGCAATCAGCCGTGCTCGGCTAGCCACGTGAAACACTACCACCAGACCAACCCCTACCACCAGACGTTGCTCCCCACCCAAGGGACCCTACGTGCAAACGACCCCGTACATCTGACCCCCATAAATATGTTCGTCAAAATCGACGACACTCATCGAGACCTTAGTGGAGGTAAAGTCTTTTGACAGAATTTGGGGAATCAATAAGCGGTATTACATTAATTTTTGACAGGGGTTGGGTAGTACTGTAATGGGACCACGCAACAGTGTTCGATGTTGCACGTTTGGGCAGGCCCATCGGGGTAACCACGACCTCACAGAAGACCTGCGTAAAGTAGATGTGTTTTACTCCTGCGTTGGTGAGTGAGGTAGCCGATGCCCGCTTTATTTAAAGGTAACGCATTTGCAACCCTACGGGTGTTGCAAATTTCAATGGGCGGCGGTTATCACTTAACATCAGGTGAACCGCCAGTTCGTTTGACACTTATCATATAAAAAAATGGTAAGTCCCAACCTCTAAGACATAGAAGATCTATTATATTCCCTTCGAAATCATTGCCACCTCACTGTAGGATAAGTACTGTGTGTACTGTGTTGTAAGGACGTTTTACATACATTTAAAAGGCTATCCGTGGGTCACGAAAATAAATAAATAAAATAAGTAAACAAATATTTAGGAGACATTTTTACAAAACGTTCTCTAGTCCCAAACCAAGCAACACTTGTAATGTGGGTACTGGATAACTGATAGACAAACTTTTCTTTCATAAATAAATGTGTATTACCCACATTACACCACAGGTGAGCCGTGTCCGTAGCTCAGTGTCCGGGCGCTCGCCTTTAATTCAATAGACTCGACCAACCTGAGTTCGATCCCCGGTGCCGGCACCAATGAAGTTTTTAACTTTAAGTGCTGCTTCGCGGTGAAGGAAAACATCGTGAGGAAACCTGCATATTTTCGAAATAATAATAAAAAAATATTTCGAAGATATGTGAAGTCCGCCAATCCGCAGTGGGGCCGCGTGGTGGACTATGCCCTGATACCCTCTGTACAGAGGAGGCCTCTGCCCAGCAGTGGGACATGTACAGGCTGTTACTTTTCTTTACTACACCACAGTTAAATTGCTATGATTGTTATGATTCCGCACCCAGGAGTTCAGCCTTCGACCACTACGTGCCATCCCGGCAACGACTTCAGACAATCCAGGATCTTCACGAAACTCTTCAGCCTACCTGGCGCGGTGGCGGACGCGCTGATCAGCGGAGAAATCACCATCTAACGCGGCAATAATAAATAGACCCCACGCTACTAATTTCTCTGTGATTCTACCCTCATCGACGAGTAGACCATCATAACCAGCTTGCACCAATATTGGACACAGACGCTGTTACACACATATTAAATATTATTAAAACCTTAATCCAATCAATAATAAAAAAAACTATTAAAAAAAATTCTGTCTGTTCTCATTGTTTTGTATAAATATTTGCCTTTTTATCTCACTTCAATTTTGTCTTTGAATATCTTTTTAATCGACGAACGCTGTAATGCATCTGTTCCAAAAAAAAATGGCATAAACAGGTTTATAAAACGTATTGCTTAAAAGAACATTTAATTTATATACGGTAAAATATATTTATATACTATAAACTATATTTGTACAATAAAAATATATACAAAATAAACAGTTTTCTTCATTTTAATACGTATGTGTTTCGTTATTATGTATACTTTTATTCTATTCGTTTCTCAAAGCAAATGAAACGGAATACCATATAACTACAGACGATGTTTTGTCATTGTCTTCTCTTTTCTGCGGCAAGCGATCTGGTGGTTCATCTGATGTTATGTGATAACCGCCGCCCATGGACATTTGCAACATCCGTAGGATCTGAAGTATAAGCTATATTACCGTAAAGTTTCATTAAAATCCATTCAGTTGTTTTTGTGTGAAAGAGTATCAAATTTACGGTCGTAGGGCCACGCAGCAGCCTCGGCTGTTGCACGAATGGGCAGGCCCGTCCTGGTAAGTACCACGACCTCACAGTAGACCAGCGCAAAGTGGAAGAACGACAAATACTTTCGCGTTTCGTCTGGTGAGTGAAGTAATTTTCAAAAGGTTGTCAACGCCTCTGTAACCCTCGGGTGTTGAAGATTTCCATGGTCGGCGGTATTCACTTACCATCAGGTGAACCGTTTGGTCGTTTGGCAACTTTTCACATAAAAAAAAAGAAATAAAAACATCTATACATCCATAAGTAAGGAAGGAGTAAGGATGGTAAGGATTAAAGGGGCACGCTCGGTCACTGAGCTGTAATTTTTTTTTATGTAAGAAGATGGCAAACGAGTCGGCGGTTCACCTGATGTTAAGTGATCACCGCCGCCCACGGTCATTTGCAACAACCGTAGAGTTGCAGATCCGTTGCCACATTTTAATAAATTGGGGCCCCAGTTACATCACTCACGAGACGAAACGCAGAAATACTCGTGAGGTGAAATTATGTGAGGTCGTGGTACTAACCCGGACGGACCTGCCCATTCCTGCAACAGCGAAGACTGTTGCGTGGCTGTACCACAGAGAAAATTCTTCCATATTCAGCTAAACATTCAAGAAAGCCTTATATCGTAAACATGTAACACAAATCCAAATCGTATCGGATCCAAACCTTCAAAGCGTCAACAGGGTCGTTTTCTGTAATCATCATATTTAACAATATTGTCGCAGCCACAATGACTACTTGCATAATGATTATTTATTATATTCTATTGTACAATTTTAGGGAAACTGACAGTTAGGACAATAAGTAAAATATTAGTTATTAAATATAGAAGGCCAATAAAATAAAAACTGTAAGTAAAAGAATCCTCTAATTAAAAAAAGAAATAAAAAAAGACAACATTTTATTAAACAAGACATAATTTTAAACAAAAAAAACCGGAAGGAAACTAAAAACATTATCAAAACCTATAACATTTGAGGTTTCCCATCGATTTCCCTGGGATTCCATCATCAGATCCGTGTTTCCTGATCATGTTACCACGCTTGGGATATCACCTTTCCGACAAAAAAAGGATCATCAAAATCGGTTCATAAACGACGAAGTTATTCGCGAAAACACTTAAAAAAATATATAAACGGTCGAATTGAGAAACCACCAACTTTTTTGAAGTCGGCTAAAAAGAAAAAAACCGACAATATATATATAATCGGAATCTCGGAAACGGCTCCAGCAATTTTCATGAAATTTAGTATGTGTGTAGATTCAGGGGCGAAAAATCGATCTAGCTAAGTTTCATTTTTAGAAAATGTCCTTTTATCCGTGTTTTGAAGGAATGAAAAATATCATTCGAATATGACGGTAAATTTTGCCGCAAAAAAAATGTTATAATAGCTCGGTCGGTAATCGGGCGGCCCCAAAACAGACGGCCGCGGTTCGTATCACGATCATTTTTTTTTTCTTTTTTTCTATACCAGATCATTTTCTTTATTTTTTATTTTTTTTATTTCCAAAATACATGATTTACCAGGTACTATTATAAATACTTGGAGAAATGAAGCAAATAATGTTATTATTGCATTTCAATTTTATGTGACTTGACATTTCTGCGCTTCGCTATGAAAGAAAAAAGCGTGAGGCAACCTGCAAATTTTCGAAGTAATAAGAAAAATAAAGATTGCTATTCTGCAGTGGGGTCGAGTAGTGGACTGAGATGCCTTTTCCCAGTAGTGGGACTTAGTGACACTTTAGACGTGGATTACATCTTTTTACAAGTTATATAACTAATTTTCTCTTAATATTGATTTAATAAAAAAAACTCGATCTTCGTAGAGTCGTATGGTCTATCTAATGCAATTCTGTACTTATAAAAAAAATTATAAACAACTTTAACGAATGTTGAATCCGAAGAAATTATAAACAATTTTAATGAACATCGAACGTTGACGGAAAATCATCTTAAAATAAACATTTTTCGATTAGAATTACAAATTTCCGTGAACCGTATAATGCAGGACATATGAAATTCCGCCCTATATAAGGTTGGCATATACTGACACACAGCAGTTCTGGAGAAGTAGCTCATCATGAATACCACAGCGTTGTTCTTTATCGGTGAGTTGCTACAAGTATTCATACACAATGATTACAAATTGTACAATGAGTGTCAGTTTTAAGATCAAAGCTTGACATAGCAGACTGTCCAAAATGTTTAATGATAATCAATGGAGAACAGGCAAACGGTTTACCTTATCTTTATATACATAATTCTGCTGTAAGTGCGTATGTCATTGAACTCGTAAACGGCTGGGCCATTTTAATGAAATTTTTTCACAATTCGTTCCAATATTTTTTTATTTTTATTACTTTGTAATTCATAAGTTGCTGTAGGATTTAAGACTAGTATAGTGTACAGAACAACTTCTGTCGGGTCCACTAAAATATAATTAATAATTATAATTTGCATTGACAAATACAAAACCACGGGGTTGCCAGGGCTTTGCCAAACTTAGCTTTCAACTTCATCCCTAATATTTTACGACTGATTTACGACTGTAACTGAGAATAGTTTTTTTTTTCTAATCATAATAAATAAAAAATTGAGGAAAACAAGTCTTCTGGATACCATCCAGACGCTTTAACCACTCAGCTAAACGTCTGATTGACGCCGCACTGACGAAAATCTCAAAGTATTTTAGCTACTTTGTTACAACAGAGAAAATTCGTCTTAATTTTGCTAAACATTCAAGAAAGCCTTGTAGTAAAAATATACAACACGCAAGAATCAGAATCTGCAATCGAAATCGATTGATGACCGGTGCAAATGTGCGGAAAGTCGATGTATGCAGGTGGCTCAGGCCTATGTCCAGCAGTGGACTCAAACAGGCAGAATTGATGATGGTGATGATGATGAATAGAAATCGATAATTGACTTTCTTTAATTCCAGCCCTAATCTACACGGCGCTCTGCAACCCGTTGGGTCAGACGACGGTATGCGAATCTTCGCAGCCCGTCGGGACCACAGTCTACGAGTCCACTTCCAACATCCCCTACTACCCGTACGGTCTACCGGCTGGACTTGGCCTGGCCGGACTCCTGTCGAACGCCAACCCGCTGGCCTTGTCCGGTCTACCCGTCCCTGGATTGGGTACGACCACTGTCTACGAGAACATCCCAAACGTTGGCGGTCTCGGTGGACTTGGATTGGGGGGCTTGGGAGTTCTTAATCCACTGAACGGCCTACCTCTGGGATTGCCTTATGGTCTCGCTGGGACAGTCCCGGGTCTTTTGGGCGTTGGACAGTTGGGCTTGCCGTACCCTGTTCCCACTGTCGGCACTGGCTCCTCTACCGTCTGCGAGAGCACTTCCAATGTGGGTGTTGGACCCCTAGGCCTACCTATTCCACTCGGAGGCATGGGCCTCGGCGGACTGGGCCTCGGAGGCCTGGGCCTCGGCGGACTGGGCCTCGGAGGCCTGGGTTTAGGCCTGGCGCAGGGACCGTTCCCTTTTTTATGAACACCTTCTCCTGCTCGGCTGTCGACTTTAATGCCAACACCCTATTGGCACAAACGGTTTCACAGCAACCAGCACTCGTCGCCTATGACCGATTAAATTACTCAAAACTATCGACACACCATAAATCATTTGGAAATTTGTCTCCTTCATTTTAATGATGCTCAAATTCATTGTAAAAATACGAAATTGTCATGTTCTATATCCAATCATCAAAATAGATTTTGCAAACCTTTAAACACATTTTATGTTCTCTTTTCCCATTCGTTTAGATTCAAATAAAATATCTATGACTTGAACAATTGTATTATTTCCATATAAGCCTTTTTACGCTATAATTGATAATTAAATTTTGTTCTGTGTCCAATTAAACAGGTTATTGAAGTTTAATCTAAATTTATGAATATCTCTGAATTTTTATAAATAATCATAATCTGAATTTATGTTACAAATTTTTTTTTTTTTTTTTACTTAATTAGTTTGTTAGAAAAATATGTTTTTAATTATGGATTTTTTTACGTTTGTTAGTTAGTTTTAACGTTTATATTTTTTTATGATAATTGGCAAGTCGCGTTAGACGTGTGTTCATTTATTGTGGCGGTTGTTACGACACGCTGTATAAAAAATGATAAATATTAAAAATCACTCGTAAGTAATTAATTACATTCATTTGAACTTATCTCAAAAAGTGCGTGCTTTATTATACGCGCGATCATAATACATAACACGCACACAAGTTCGTGCACAGTAAAATTTAGGTATTTACGAATGACTACGGCGTTGTCAAGAAATTCTGGTTTTTAGGGAATAGAATGGTAATTTTTTGGAAAAAAAAAGTTTGTTTTTTATTTCAATAAACGATTATACTACCGAGTCGGAACCTGAAATTTCATAGCTATCTGATTTATTGGATGTAAAAATTAACTGAGGTTAACTGTAGTAGGGCCACCAGACACTGTTCGCTGTTGCATGAATGGGCAGGTCCATCCCGGTTAGTAGCACGACCTTACAGAAAACCGGCGTGAAATAGAAGTGTTACACTTCTGCGTTTCGTCTGGTGAGTGAGGTAGCCGGGGCCCACTTTAGTTAAAGGTACGCAAAACTATGGGTGTTGCAAATGTCCATGGGCGGCGGTTATCACTTAACATCAGGTGAATCACCTGCTCATTTGCCACTTTGTCACATAAAAAAAGAACTTGAAAATCTCAGATCTCAGATGTTTTATAGCGAGCTTTACCGTTCCCGATTTGTCTAAATTTCCTTAAGCTCGGATCTGTTTGGCTTTGAGCAATGAATGAGGGATTCAGTATTAATTACATTGTATTGGCTTCTCTGCTAAGAAGATCTTGCAGAACTTAAATTAATTTAAGGACTTGGAATTTTTTTATCGAAAAATGCTGCTACTATTTAATTTCTTTGAAACTGCCTACTTTTTGTAAATTATTTTTATTTTACATTGTACTTATATATTATAATAATAATATTAAAATATCTTTATTCACATAGACGCTTGCGCGTTCTTATGAAACGTCAAAATTTTACAAGAAATTAACACGTTCGTAAGTTACCATTATTCTCGGAATAACAAGGGTTAATGAGTTTATAATACTAGATGTATGTCAGATTTAGTAGAATTTCTTATAATAATACTTACTTTCCTAAGATGATATTTTTGAGTTATAAATAGGTGCTTCGGCCGGGCTTCTTCCCTGGGATCCTCTGTACCTGTGTTCCGATGCTGGGTTATCAACTCTACGTTACCTTCTAACTTTACGCGACACAACTCAAGTTAAACATGAAAGAATAATTTTGAAAACGAGAAAGATCGTAGAAGTATGAAGTATACAAATAATGTCATTCTCTTCAGATAAACAACATGTATCGCTTACATGTTGTACGCAAAATGCCTTTAAAGCCTTCTAAAGAGTACAAGTTATTTTTTTTTATTAACGAAAAACAGAACCCATTTCAAATATCTCGCTCTGTGTTCATTTTATAATTGATTTACCGGAGTTCCCTTCGTATCTCCAGAGCCGTGGGAAGCACCAGCTTTCAAATCAAGATCAAGAGGAGAAAAAGAAGAAGAAGAAGAAGAATGAAGAATCATCAAGAATCATCAAAATCAGTTCACTCATTCGAAAGTTCTGAGGTAACAAATATTTAAAAAAAAAACAGTCGAATTAAGAGCCTCTTAAGTATTTGAAGTTGTTTGAAAATGAATCCATGAGTACTTGTCAAGACATAAAGACAGATATAAGGAAAATATACATATAATACATAAATCACAACATACATATTAAAACTAGGCTAACATTTGCAAACTTGATAAGGCGATCAAAATCACGCACGGGTATTTATTCAAACGTTGGTCATGTTAAGAACGGTCGGAGATCTGGTATTCAGCTGATATGCTTTCGTATCGATCTGGCAAGATGTTCCTTATCAGCTGACGGTTCCGTGGTAACTTAAGAGCAAGGGGCGCTACAGTAGGGGCACGACGAGGGGCACGACGGGAGACACGGCGGGGGACACGGTTGGTAGCACGGCGGGGGACAAGGAGGGAGACACGGCGGGGTACATGGCTGGTAGCACGGCGGGGGACAAGGCGGGAGACACGGCGGGGTACACGGCGGGGGGGAGGGGCAGGGCTCAGGTGCACACGGCCCTCCCCTAATCACGGCCGAAGTCGGAACGCATATAGTGGGCAGCTGTACAGTCGGCGGCGTGGGCCTACGCACGACGATCGGCGGCGGGTTTATCGGAGCCGGCTGCGGCTGGGTGACGCTGATCGCCGGCGGCTGGATGGCCTCCGGCTTGGCGGGGCGCACCACCACCGGCTCCGGCTGGATGGGGCACGGGCGGGGTGGGCGGACGCAGATCGGGGGCGGCGTTATGGGCGAGAGGGGCGGCGGTCGCACAACCACCGGCTGCGGCGTGATGGGCGGCTGCTGTGGCGGCTGCACGACGATTGGCGGCGGCGTTATCGGCTGGAGCGGCGCCGGCCTGACCAGGATCGGGGGCGGCTGGATGATGACCGGCGGCACGTGGTGCAAGTAGAACGTGCCGCCCGGGACTTGTACCGATTGGAAGCCGGCCGAGCGCAAGCTGTCGCTGACGCTCGTCCTGGGCACCACCACGCCGATTGGGCCGTTGCCGCCGGGAGCTGGAAGGCGGTTAGGTCTATAGTCCTGCAATAGACACTCATGGCGCAGTACATGAGGACTCTATATATATGCGATAGTCGCAGTCCTAAAATCTTGATTCAATAATGTATAGATACAAGTATTTGTGTAGTCCACAGATAGTTGTCCACGCAAAACTTGAGTATCTAGAACGTCATGTTAAGTGATAACCGCCGCCCATTTGCAACATCCGTAGAGTATTCAGTTAGGCCGCGAAACTTCAACAGTGAAGAATGTTGCGTGGCCTACCGCAGAATAGGCACAGAAGGAGCAAATAAACAAACACTCTTCGTACTCACTTGGCGCTGGCTGGCACGGATCGCAGGGCTGCGGTGGGCAGGGCAGTGGCGGCTCCGAGCACGGATCGGGACACGGTTCCGGGCAGGGGCATGGCTCGGGACAGGGGGGGATGTCTGACTCCTGACAGGGCTGGTAACAGGGCTCAGGTTCCAGACAAGGCGGTATTGGGCTCGGCAGCATACATCCCAAGAGTGGCGAAGGCGCCGCCGCCGTAGAAGCGATCAGTGCTGTAATTAGAAAAGTAAAGTGGTCACCCTTCGTTAAAATTAATCGTTGAATAGCATTTGTTAGGTGTTACATGCTGTAGAGGATGCACACTAGATGGCGCCAAGCATTTCTAACAATGCAATAGAAAGAACGTAGATATATATATAGAGATCTTCGCCCTGCGAGGTCTGCGGCCGCGTAACTTAAAGTGAATATCTCTCTTTACAAATTAATATCTTATAATCTTATAATCTCTTTAGAAATTAATTCTTCATTGAATATCATTTGTAAGGTGTTTCATGCTTAAAAGGATGCACACTAAATGACGCCAACTATTTAATACCAATAGAAATAACTTAGATAGGTATCGAGATTTTCGCACCGTGATGTCATCGGCCGCGTAACTTAAAGTAAAACCTTAACTCAACAAGAACTAAAAACTTAAAGTAAATCTCTCATTAAAAATTAATTGAATGTTATTTGTAAGGTGCTGCATGCTGTAGAGGATGCACACTAGATGGCGCCAACCATTTCTAACAATGCAATAGAAATAACTTAGATAGATATCGAGATTTTCGCACCGTACATCGCCCGCGTAACTAAAAGTTAATACCTCTCATTACAAATTAATATTCTTCATTGAATATTATTTGTAAGGTGCTGCATGCTGTAGAGGATGCACACTAGATGGCGCCAACCATTTCTAACAATGCAATAGAAATAACTTAGATAGATATCGAGATTTTCGCACCGACATGCCCGCGTAACAACAATTTCTTCAAATATTATTTGTAAGGTGCTGCATGCTGTAGAGGATGCACACTAGATGGCGCCAACAATTTCTAACAATGCAAAAGAAAGTACGCAGTTTTTGGCGACATGGTGTCGTAACTAAGTTGGTACAATGTCTGTGCGCGAAACCGCAGGGTCGAGTCTCTCGCAGCGCCGAAAGTTTTTGTTCATTTATCTACAAAAATTCACATTAAATGGACTCGTTGAGCCGAACTAAATCTTTCAAAGTACCGTGTACGTGTACTACGAATGCTAATCTAATTAAGTAGTTTTGGTACGTACCTAAAACACCCAGTGCCGTCAGTGGCCCCATGTCTTCACCGGATCTGTCCCAGTGGAGAAACCGCCGCCAAATTTATACCGGATATCGGTTTCGGTACGAATCAACGTTGCAGAACGATCATAGATGTTGTTTGATATGCAACCGTTTGAGCTTACCATGTTTTTATACAATCGGAGGATATTTAGAGAACATTTTAACTAAATAAGTTCCTGCACAGTTATATTAAAATGTGTAATGTAATGGATCAAAGCAGTGATATTTAGGATTATATTATTTTTATATTAAGTGCTTATCTGAACTCGGGTTAATATGAAGTTTTTTAGGGTTCTGTACCCAAAGGATAATTCGGGACCCTATTAATAAGACTCTGCTGTCTGTCTGTCTATCTGTCGCCCTGTCTGTCCATCTCTTCGTCTGTCACCAGGCTGTATCTCATGAACCCTGATATTTAGACAGTTGACCGCATCAATACACCATCTATAAAAATTTTAACTAACTATCACGGTTCTTTAGATACAGCCTGGTAGACAGACAGACAGACAGCAGAGTCTTAGTAATAGAGTCCCGTTTTACCTTTTGGGTACGGAACCCTAAAAACTGACAAAACCAAGCTATGAGCTGAAAACTATGTATCTATTAAAACAACACATAATGTGTCAGAGTCAATATTTCACCTACGATAATTACACCCAGAGACATCTAGATCGTAAATTTCATTAACTTTGAATTAAGTCGCCTTAATCCATAGTGCTTTATGCATCGATAAATTGATTTACTGCTTAGTAACTAATTAAAGTTAAACTCGACTTGAATGTCGAGTAATGTAGGCGTTGGCATATTTAGCCTTACGACGACAGCTGACGCTATTGTACAAAACAAATTTAATAGGAAATTTTTATTACTAAAACTTCGCTGTGTCTGTCTGTCTGTCCGTCTGTCATCGGGTCGTATCTCAGGAACAGTGATAGTGGGAAAGTTGAAATTTTCACAGACGATGTATTTTTGCTGCGGCTGTTACAACAAATACTTTAACATAAGGTAAAAATATTTAAGTACGGCTCCCATACAACAGTACGGACGAGTTCGAATCACACTTGGCCAGTTTTTATACTTGACGATAAACTAAAGTATTCAGAGTGTAGGTCTCAATACTAGTTAATAAAAATCATACACGCTAAATACTCGTGCGTCGTTGTTTCAGTTAAAATTTGCGTTACATTAAACTAAAAGTCACCATTCGGTGTTGAGTTATGCCCGGCTTGGCATCAAGTGTAAAGATGTTCTTATCTGGGATTGCAACTATAAATTGTATCGAGTTCTCGATCAGCGTTCACATTCGGCAAGCATGGGTTACCGTTCGCTCTTCCTGTTCGGTAAGTTGATTTTCATTTCTGATGACAGAGATGTACTTGACTTGGTATTCTTGGTACTCGGCTAAGCAACATTTCCATTGGATTTCAAGTCTAAATGCTTTATGGTCCTAATCGCGACATTCTAAAAATTTATCAAGAAATTGAAATTTTTATATTTTTTAGCCTCTACGAGAATTCGACCCTGCGCCTTCGGTAACCAGGGCACCCCTAAGCTCAGCGCGAACATGTCGACGTTTTATCTACTTTTTCCTTTTTATTGAATTTAAGAATTTAAAGGAACGCTTGACGTAACATGCCGATAAAAAGGGGTTATCATGCCTTCACGTATTTTTTTTAGTTAGGGCTTAGACGAATTTTTTTTCAAAAACATGGCCCCTACTTTGGGATAACATTATCCTGTGTTGTAAGGACGTTTTACAGACAGAAATTTCACGTGGACAAACACCAAGACACGGAACAATTATCCGTGGGTCACACAAATACTTGTCACGTGAGAATCGAACCCACGACCCCCTTAGGTATTGTTTTAAACTCTATCTACAGTCTCTATCATCTATATGGCTGTTTTTTTTTATAAAATTTCACTATCTGATGTTTCCGTGTATGGTTTGAGGATGCGTTACAGTTTTGTTCGCTATCATAATTACGTTTTTGTTTTATCCGTATTTAACTTTTTTATGTTTTTATGTTTGTTATCTCAAAATTACTCGACTGAGTGATAAACTGAGGGAAGCTGGTGCTTCCCATGTGATTTCATATTAATGCTTCATATAAGTGCTTCCTATGTGTGTCCTTGGGCTCCGTATATAATTAGGGAACTCCTGAAAATCGATTATAAAATGAATACAGAGCGAGATGTTTGGTGTCGGTTTCGTTTTTCGTTAGTTAAAAGAATGGTTATTGTTATTTTTAACACTGTCGCGTATCTACCACAGTTCTATCTGATGTTCGCCGTTTCAGCTCTCGTGGGCTGTGCCGCAGCGGCTCCGTGGCGATGCTACAGAACTGGAAATGGGGACACAGTTTGCGTCGGAAACCAAGAGCCCTGCAACCCTCCACCTTGCGCCAGAGCCGCTTGCACGTACACGCCGGAGTGCGTGCCTTGCCCGCCGCCTTGTCTACCGCCTTGCCTGCCCCCTTGCCTGCCGCCTTGTCTGCCGCCTTGCCTCCCATGCCCGGAACCCTGCCCGGACCCCTGCTATTACCCCTGTCCACCGTGCCCAGACCCCTACCCTCCGTGTTATTGATTTTTCGATGACAACACGGTTTTGATAATACGGATATTATAGGATTTGAGCATGGAATAAATCACCGTTTCAGGAAATTATTTATTATTATTATTTTGTTTACGAAACATCCTTTAATCAGTAGTGAAACGTAAATGATTCGTCTTTTATTATGGTCATTGACTTAATTCTGGAACCTTCCAAAGCCTTCAGACCCCTTGTTCTTTTAATAAACTCAATAAATGGACTACAATTCAACCTGATGTTTACAAAAGGAAAATCAAAAAACCGGCCAAGTGCGAGTCGGACTCGCGCACGAGGGGTTTCATACCATTATTATCTATAAAAGCGGCATAAAATCATGTATGGGAGCCCCATACATGATTTTATGCCGTTTATAAAAAAATAATTATAAAAAAATATAAGTGGTTATATTTTTTTATAATTGTTGTTATAGCGGTAACATAAATACATCGTCTCTGTAAATTTCAACTATCTCACTATCACGGTTCATGAGATACTGCCTGGTGACAGACGGGCAGACATACAGTCATCGCAATCGAGGAGTAGGAATAAAAGTATAGACATCAATTAACTTGTCATTGACGTAGAAAATTATTATCAAACTCAATTTTAACATTATACCAACAGAGTTGATACAGGGTGCGTTCAATTTAACTCAAGATTGTGTTACGTAAACAAACGTAGCCTTTCCAATCTTGTCGAGTTAATTTCTACGTTGGGTCGTTCCCACGCAATTCCAAGAAGTCTAATTGAAGTGTTAATTTAAACGAATTGGCTCAATTCTGTTTATTTATTTCAAATGTACAGAACTGTTACCGAAAATTTTAGACAAATGAAAATCCCTTTAATACTTCACGATAATCTACAAATTATAGCAGTTCCATTTAACTTCCACATTATTCTGGTATCAAAATATTTCAATTTATTTTTTATTATTTTAAAGGTGATAATTTCACCTTTAAAATAAGAAAAACTGTCTATGAGATGCGGAAACTCAACCGTATAACTTCAAAGAAGAAACAATCAAACACGTTTCTTTCAATTATTAATCCATTTTTAAATCAATAATAAACTATTAGGTATAGTTTATTATCTGTGAACACTTCTGATTCAAGGAGAAAACAAAAACTTCTTGTTCTCCGATATTATCACCCTGTAATAAACAGAAGTTAACTACGGAAAAAAAACCAAAACAACGGTAATGTCTATGTGCCAAGTACGCGCTTTTTTTCTTTTTTTTTCTTTTATTTAAAAATAGTTAAAAAATAAAAAATAGGCTTTTGTAGTTAGCAGAACTAAAAAATAGAAAATAAACAATAGCTAAAAATAAACTAAAAACACACGCTCTTTCTTCTTGTTTGTTATCTACAAAAGTGTGTTAAGTTTTTTTTAAACTATTTTTTTATTTCATTAAATTTTATCCAGTTCATGGACGCCCCAAATCCGCCTCTGTCGGCCACTTTTGACGCGACAGCCGCGTAAACCAATTACGGGGGAAGCCTGGGCGCTCAACGAGACAATAATTGCTTTACCTCGTTCTAACACTCGGGTGTAATCTCGTTGCACAGGCGGAATGAAATTAAGATATAAAGTACCAAATAAAGTGGGATACGTTGGAAAACATAATCTAGGGATTCGAAATTGAAATAAAAAAAATATAGTTACATAGTTTCCAGCTCGTAGCTTGGTTTTATCAGTTTTTAGAGTTCCGTACGCAAAGGGTAAAACGGGACTCAATTGCTTAGACTCCGCTGTCTGTCTGTCACCAGGCTGTATCTCATGAACCGTGATAGTTAGAAAGTTGAAATTTTCACAGATGATGTATTTCGTTGCCACCAAAATCTTTCAGTTATACAGGGAGATTTTTTGAGAAGTGCCCAAATTTATACAGGAGGTGCAGACTTCCTAGTATAATCATTTATTGAAATAAAAAATTGTTTTTTTTTAATGCCATTTTATTCCTTAATAAACAGGACGTGTTAACAATGCGGTAGTCACTCATAAATACCTAAATTTTACTGTGCACGAACTTGTGTGCGTGTTAGTTACGAATGATCGCGCGTAAAATAAATGGGTTGCGTATAAAGCACGCACTTTTTGAGATGAGTTCAAATGAATGTAATTAATTACTGAAGAGTGATTTTAAATATTTATCATTTTTTATATTTTATATAACAAAAATGGATACACTTAGAAAAGCCACCATATTTAATACGACAGACATGATTTTTTTGCCGTTTTTATATAAATAGTACGGAATGCATGAGACCGACTCGCACTTGGCCGGTTTTTTTAGCTGTATATAACCTTCAGGACCACAATGTTGAATTTGCAAAATGTTGAATTCCTAAAATGTTGAATTCGCAAAATATTAATTCCCAAAATGTTGAAGTCGTAAAAAGTTGATTTTACTGGTCTCATAATGTTGAATTCCTAAAATGTTGAGTTCGCTAAAAGTTGAACTTGCAATATGTTGAATCCCAAAACGTTGAATGCAAAAAAGTTGTATCCCAACAATGCGAACAACTATATCAGATTTTTATAGATATTGTTATATAAATTATTTTTGTGAGGATATTTGTTTTCTCGGTAAGGATTATAAATAAAAATAAACGTATAGATATAAATATTGTATATTAAACCGGTGGATGATGCGGGTGGTATCGAGGAGCACCGCCTTCTGCATTTGAGCTTGGAGCGTTCCATCCCGGAGTCTCAGTCGCCACAGATGTTCATAGAGGCTGACTGGGATCAACCCATTCGCAGACACGGACGGTCGGTCACCTCGTGAGCCAGGTCCAGATATTTCGTCTTGTTATCTGTTACGGCTTTCACGAGCTTCTCGTCATATGGGATGGTAATGTCGACCAAAAATACCCGCGACTGTGCCCGGTCCATCAACAAGATATCAGGTTTGTTCGCGAGAATCGACCTGTACGTGATGATGGGCCGGTCCCAATAGAACCTTGCGCGGTCATGGTCGAGCATGGCTTCTGGGTAGTAAGGCAGTTTCCGATCCACGAGGCCGTATTTCAGAGCGAGCTCCTGGTGTAGGATTCTGGCTACTAGGTTGTGTCTATGCAGATACTCAGAGTTAGATAGCATGGAACAACCAGAGATAACATGCCGAAGTGACACCCCGGGATGGCGACAAGCTCGACAGATGTCGACGGTGCCATCCCTTAGAATGTATTTCCGATAGTTTTTCGTCTTAATAACCTGATCCTGTATCGCACAGACAAAACCTTCGGTTTCCCCAAAGCGGTCACCGAAAGGTAGCCAGTTAAGGGAGGCAACAATATCTACGAAAGGTTCGTGCAGAGCCTTGTACAACCTCCCGTGGAGCTCTTTTCCTTCCATATAAGAAAATAATTCAGACCATATAATAATTCATTCCATATAAGAAGATGAAGCTTCTTTAAGTCTAAGGACTAAAAGAGTAACATCAGTTATAAAAAAAAAAGTTACACAATTTTTTTTGTTCGATGTTACTTGGTTTTCGACTTTTCTTTTTCGATTTCCATATGTTTTGCACTATTTCGATATGACCTAGATAGTACCAAACAACACGGAACAATAATACCATACACCCAGCAATTCATTAGTTAGAATTCAACATTTCGCAACTTCAACTTTTTGCGAATTCAACGTTTTAGGAATTCAACATTGTGACCCGGGTGGGAAATTCAACTTTTTACGACTTCAACATTTTGGGAATCAACATTTTGCGAATTCAACATTTTAGGAATTCAACATTTCGCAAATTCAACATTGTGGTCCTGAAGGGAATCGATCAAGACACAAGAAATTTCATTAAAATCGGTCCACCCGTTTAGGATGAGTTCAGTGACATACACACTCACAGAAGAATTATGTATATGAACATTTATTTATTTTTATTTATTTCTTTATTAATATAACATTTCTTTATTGAAAACACCTCAAAAGGGTTACAAATGGCAGACTTAATGCCTATTGGCATTCTCTATCAGTCAACATTGTATTTATTTATATATATTAGTATGTATTACAATTATTCGGTAATATTTTTCGTGTTGTATATGTTTTAGTAATGTATTTAAAATTCGCATATACATAACATAGTTTGTAAATATAAGCATTCTCCTCTCCAATTTTCCCTGTACCACCCCAAGGTTGACTGGGAGATTATGTCCTTGGCATTAAGTCCGCCTTTGCACTATTTGTGTCTATAGGGAAAATAAATAAACAAAATTCAAGAATTCTTTATTCGCAGATAATGTACAGGCTCCTGCCTCTCACAAGAATCTTGCACCGTTTTGAATACAATACAAAAAAGAGAAACATAAATAACTAATTAAAAATGTGTTTTATTACAACCCTTACCCATTTTCATATTATTTAAGACCCTAATGAATTCCCCCAGTATATATTAAACTATACATAGCCGTTGTTCGTGGATTCACATATAAATTATTTATAATATTCTGCCAATTTGAATGGATTCACATATTATTTATTTATAATACGCAGACAACTTCAATTGATTCATATAATAGTTGTTTATGATGCGCAGACGACTTCAATAGATTCACATATTTTAAGTTATTTATAATATTCAGACAACTTCAATGGATTCTCATATTAGTTATTTATAATATGCAGACAATTTTAATGGAATCACATATTAGTTGCTTATAATATGCAGACATCTTCAATGGATTCGCGCATATTTGTTATTTATAATATTCAGATAATTTTAATGGAATCAGATAATAGTTATTTATAATATGCAGACAACTTCAAATGAATGTTTATTACAGCAAAACGTAACAACTCTTACCCTGCAATGTCTTTTAATTCCTAATTATTCTCAATACTAACACAATGGAGAAATATAAATTACTAGATGACCCGTGCGAAAATTTCGCATAGATAAAGTAATATAATATTGTGCCAGATAATTAACTATCAAAGATACTTTTATCTTGCTTTGAAGAAAACGGTATTATTGTCAACAGATGGTGTTATTTTTATGAAATCATTTACTCAATCCCATTTGTCTATTTTCCATCAATAGCGGCAAACATAAGGTTTAAAATGGTTTTAGAATAATTAAATTTGATGAATAATTATGGACGTTATAACAGTTCCGATAAAAAAATCACGACAAAACGACAATATACATTTATTAATTATTTTTTTTTTAATTTTGTAATTTAATGAATATTACATGTGATATAAGTAGTATCATACTATTTAATTAATTGCTATTATATAACATTATGGTTTGTCTGTCTGTATGCATGTATATACAAGTATGCTCCAGTCACACCAGAAAGCTTTTTATATATACCATAAATAATAATAAATAAACACTGCAAATAATTATTAATATTAAATACTATAAATTCATCTAACTTTGTGAACGATTTGAACGAACAAACACTGTTCACACAAAGTAACAATATTAATTAATGATGTTCTTTCTATTTAGACCTTGCCCTTAATGTTGGTTGCAAGGTTATTCATTTAAATAAAATTGAATAAAATTGAATACAATTAAATACTCATTAAATAATTTGTGTAGCAATGTCAATGGTATATGTACAGATATGGATAAGAAAAGAGGAGAAAGTATGTGAAAGAATAACTTTATAAAAAGGGTTATTATGACATAAATGAATACATTAATGACAATAACCCCTCGAAATGAGTTGGTCGCTGCCAAGCTATTTACCTAAAAGAATGAAAGAAAAACGGTTGTATAATATTTTAATTAAAAAAAAAGATACCTGCGGAGCCTGTTTCTTCTCCGTTAGAGGAAACTCATTACCAAACGGCGCTAGTTTAAAAATGACTATTGATAAAATGTATGTTTCTCGTGTTGATGAATAAACAATTTTGATTTGTTTATTAGATCCATCCTACTACTTTTCAGTGCATATTATAATACAGTCTCGAGGAAGACTTACGGTCAGACAATACAAAAAATGAAGTCAACGGAGAATTAATATTGGGTCTCTTGAAGGCATTGAGCAGGTTCTTTATTACTGTTTAGGAACCTTTAGAGTTGAAGGGGCCTAATTAAGAAAATCGATGAATCAACTCAATACACTATATGTCAGGAAACGACTTAAAACCTCCTTTTCCGACACTTATTAAAGGGTCAACTTTAGAAAGCTACACAACGTATACTTCGGTCTCTTTCACTCCCCTCCAATCACATTTGTTCGTAAGTGAACAAATCTTTATTTAACGTTTCACCATATAGCTCACTCTTTTCCTCTCTAAACATTTTATCTCTATATTATGATTTTTTCTTTTTTTTTACTCATAATTTATTTAAAAATAAATTTCCGTTAAATGGCTTTTGTCCACTTATCGTTCCCTTCTGTTTATATTGTATATATAATTATGTATGTATTTATTCATATTTATATATATTTATTTATTTTATTCATTTATTTGTGTATAGTATTGTTGTGTACATGTATCTATAATACCTTTATTTACAATAGCGTATACCTCAAACCCTTCTCACTGATCATTGTATCCTCAGTAACACGGTTGCCTGGAAGAAATCGCTTCTAAGCGATAAGGCCGTCAATTGTACCTTTATGTAGTTATCTGTTACTTTTGTAATTTTGTCTGGTGTACAATAAAGCGTATTTCATTTCATTTCATTCATTCATTCATATATTTATGCATTTCAATTAGGCCACCATAATTCTAAAGGTGCGTGTTGTGATATTAGATGGTCTCAGCGATTTTGCCAACGCACTGCCAACAACAATCCAGGGTCACGTGTGGAAGTTGTTGTCCCGGCATCAGAGCATCTTCCTCACCATGTAGTTCAGGATGCCGCCGTGCCGGAAGTAGGTCAGATCCACTTCCGTGTCGAAGCGTATCTTCACCTGGAACGATTTGCCGTTGTCCACCTGCAAATGACACGAGGGATGAAGATTTGTTTTTTTTTTTTTTTTTATGTGAAAAGTCGACAAGCGAGCAGACGGTTCACCTGATGTTAAGTTACAATACGTTTTTATTGTATTGTTGTATAATACGTAAGAAACTTAAGAGAACATTATGTAATAACTCGAGTATCATGTAATGTAATTAGTATTATAAATAAATAAATGAATATTTTAGGACAAATTTTTACACAGGTTAAACTCTCTGAATTGACCAGAATTATGAATTATAAATGATCAATTCAAAGAGTTTCATTTTGGTTTTTATAGACCTTGCCCTTACTGTAGAGTCCATTAATACTTTAGTACAATTTAATAACAATTGAATAATTTTTGTAACAATGACAATGGTATATGTACAGATATTGATAGGTAAAGAAAGCATGCCGAGACCCCCACTACTTGTATGAGTATATTCTAATATAGTCTCCAGAAAGGCTTACAGTCAGACAATACAAAAAATTAAGTCGACGGAGAATTATTATTATAATAGAATTCTGAATTATGAATGATCAATTCAAAGCTTTCTACGCTCCTTTTGACAACTCAAATGCTATTCGAAAAGCCATTATGACGGCCGATTAGTTGACATCCGCGATGATGGTGTTTCAGAAGGCAAGGTGGTATTACGGTGGTAGGGCCACGCAGCGGCCTCGGCTGTTGCACGAATGGGCAGACTCGTCCGGGTGAGTACCACGACCTCACAGAAGACCGGCGTAAAGTGGAAGTATGACAAATACTTTCGCGTTTCGTCTGGTGAGTGAGGTAGCCGGAGCCCAATTTTCAAAAGGTTGTCAACGCATCTGCAACCCTCGGGTGTGGCAGAAGTCCATGGGCGGCGGTATTCACTTAACATCAGATGAACCGTCTGCTCGTTTGACAACTTTTCGCATAAAAAAAAAAAAAAAAAAAAAAAAAAAAAAAAAAAAAAACGGCGGGCGTCGCGGTTGTGTTTGGAAGCTGCACCAGTCCAACCTGCACCGTGGCCAGCTCGCCCGGGGCCAGCCTCTCCGGCAGCCGCAGCGAGTAGCGCTCCGTGCCGTCCAGCCGCAGCGAGTCGGCACTCTGCCCCTCGAGGAACTGCAGCGGCACCACGCCCATGCCCACCAGGTTCGAGCGGTGGATGCGCTCGAACGACTCCGCGATCACGGCGCGGATGCCCTGGGACCAAGGTTGCATAAATATTCATTCATTCATTCGTTCGTTCATTCATTCATTCATTCATTCGTTCGTTCATTCGTTCATTCATTCATTAATTCATTCATTCGTTCGTTCATTCGTTCATTCGTTCATTCATTCATATCACTTAGATGGGATTGCAACTGCAGGCCGAGGGAATTGTGTTTGGAACGTGGTGGGAGCGGGCAAAGCTAAAGGAAAACCGAGAGAGATTTGGATGGACCATGTGAAGAATAATAAATATCTGTGAAAGGTTTATCCATACATAGGGGTGGCTTTTCTAAAGGTGTCCAAATTCACACAGGATGTTCAGACTCGGTGGTATAATCGTTTATTGAATTTAAAACAAACTTTTTTTTTTTTTTTTAAAAAATTGTCATTCCATTCCTTAGGAAACAAAACTTGTTAACAATGCGGTAGTCATTCATAAATGCGTCGCATACTTTTGAAACGAACTTGTGTGCGTGTTAGTTATGAATGATCGCGCGTAAAATAAATGAGTTGCGTATAAGTCACGCACATTTTTAGATAAGTTCAAATGAATGTATTTAATTAATTTGAAGTGATGTCAAATAGTTATCATTTTTTATATAACATTATTTATGTCTAGAATTTAATAAAAAAAAAGTGTATCCAACTTAAGAAAGCCTCCCTGTATATCCAGTATTGAGATAATGGCGGATAGAGGAAAGCGGAACGAAAGGACATGGTGTGTCATACCCCCCTGTGAGATAAGGGCGGGAGAAAGAAGAAAGAAAAAGTACAGACTATCAGCAAGTACTATCCTTAGATAGTACAACTTATTTTAGAGCTGAAATATGTTCCTAGTACACCTTGTAACCATCTAAATGCAAAATCTCCAGCAACCACTCTCTAGATTATGGCTTAGCTATGTTCCTAGTTGGAATCCAATGTAAAAACTTTTCGTCCCGTTTTCCGACAAATTTTAAATGTTTCATCTCACAATGCACTATAAAAAAAAACTTAATATACAATTTAAATATAATTTAAAAAACTAAAAAAAAAAAAAAACACCCGACTGCGTTTCTGTGTAATTTTTTCATTTTGATATACCCAGTGTCACTCTCACAGTGAATACGAGTCTGACGACACTTCTCAAGCTAAAATCTAAGCCGTTGAGACTGCAGGGCGTACCAAAAAATTATACATACATACATACATATATACTGAACTGTGATAGCTCAGTGTCCGGTCGCTCGCCTTTAATTCAATGTACTCGAGCAACCTGAGTTCGATCCCCGGTGCCGGCACCAATGAAGTTTTTAACTTTAAGTGCTGAATTATCACGTGCTCCGCGGTGAAGGAAAACATCGTGAGGAAACCTGCATATTTTCGAAATAATAACAAAAAAAAATATTTTCAAGTCCACCAATCCGCAGTGGGGCCGCATGGTGGACTATGCCCAGATACCCTCTGTACAGAGGGGGCCTTTTGCCCAGCATTGGGACACGTATAGGCTGATACTTTACGTGCACACTCTCGAAAAACACGACCCCCCTTCTGGCGCAGTCGGATAAGATGTGATCCAAGCTCACCAGCAAGAAGGGGCCCTTGGCGGCCCAATCGCGGCTGGAGCCGGAGCCGTAGTCCTTCCCAACTATCGCTATCAGAGGAACATTCTCCGATGCATACCTGAGGATAGACCAAAGATATAGAATCCAACATCTTAGAGCAAAACGGGACCAGCGGAAATCTTCAGTTGTCCAAACACATTGTTCTTGAAGAGCAAACAATTAATCATTTATCCTTAGTAACTAAGTTTTAGGATATTTTAGGGCTCCGCACCCAAAGGGTAAAACGGGACCCTATTGCTGAGACTCCGCTGTCCGTCTGTCCGTCTGTATCCCATGAACCGTTATAGAGAGACAGTTGAAATTTTCACAGCAACGAATACTGAAAAGGAGAATATTTAAGTACGGCTCGCATACAACTGACATGATTTTTTTGCCCTTTTTAAAATATCGGAAGCTTCAGGGTTTTTTATTGCCCTTACCGTAGGATAACATTATGCGGTGTTGTAAGCATGTTTTTTTTATATACACAAATTTTACGCGGACAAACGGCCCGATCCCAGGCCGGCGTGAAAGGGTTTTGCAAATGTCAATGGGCGGTGGTTAACATCAGGCGAACCGCCAGCTCGTTTGCCACCTTCTCACGTCAATAATATTCTTCACTGTTTGTCGTATTGCACTAGCGTCAAGCGTCCCTGCTCCCTGTGACTTCACTCCAAAGTCGAAGAAGATTGAAGAAGGATGCTCATTAAGTCAAGGGTCACGTTGCGTTTATATTTTGTGTGTAAGGGGTTTCCGGACATTTCAGAGCATGTTTTTATATATAAGTGCTTTCCTTTACACATATAAGAGCCTCCTGCTCGTTTGCCCCTTTTCACCATAAAAAAAAAATATAAACACCAACACCACTGGAAAGTCGAAGTGGGGGGTTGAACCCACAATTTTTTTAAACATTTTAATGCAAATAATTTTATATCAAATTGACATTTGCATGCTGGAGTCAGCTGAATGTTGCACCAAATTATTATAATTAAAATCATAATGTACTTCATTCATTCATTCAATCACTCATTCATTCATTGAATCACTCATTCATTCATTCATTCATTCATTCACTCATCCATTCACACTCTCTGGCGCACTAGGCAGGGTCACTGCCCACCACGCCTACCGGTTCGTCAATTAGCCGGGCGAGTAATGCGATCGGATCACCTCTCGGCCGCGTCGTATATGTCCATGAGGTCGCCGCTGGGCCGGTGGGTGGTTCTGGGTCCAGGGTTCGGGCTGAGCCTGTTCACCAGCCGGATGTTGGCGAAGGTGCCGCGCGACATAACAGCGTCGTTGCCTCGACGCGAGCCGTACGAGTTGAACTCGCGCGGGGTGAGGCTGCGACGGAATAAAAGTAAAGTAACACACAATACATGTCCCGCTGCTGGGCAAAGGCCTCCTCTATACAGAGGGTATCAAGGCATAGTCCACGACGTGGCCCCACTGCGGATTGGCGGACTTCACATATCTTCGAAATATTTTTTTTTGTTATTATTTCGAAAATATGCAGGCTTCCTCACGATGTTTTCCTTCACCGCGGAGCAGGTGATAAGTCAGCACTTAAAGTTAAAAACTTCATTGGTGCCGGCACCGGGGATCGAACTCGGGTTGCTCGAGTACATTGAATTAAAGGCGAGCGCCCGGACGCTGAGCTATCACGGCTCGATGCAACGGAATATGGAGTGGTGTATTAACGTACAGAATAGAATAGAACACGCAATGGGAAAGAGTGAGTACAGAACGGAATAGAATGGAATGGAAAAACCTTCATTGACTGTGGTGTGGGCCACGCAATGGTGTTAGATGTTGCACAAACGGGCAGTTCCGTCCGGGTTGGTGCCACGACCTCGCGGAAGCGTTGTATTCCTGCTTTTGTGTAAAGGTGGCAACGCACCTGCCACCCTACGGGTGTTGCAATGTCCATGGGCAGGCGGTTATCGCTTAACATCAGGTGAACCGCCAGCTCGCTTGCCAATTTCTCACATTGAAAGTGGATGGTGACGATGGCGATGATGACGACAATGATATAATAATAATTATTATTATGCAGATGGAGACATCTAACATCCCTAAAGTCAACAGAGAAAAAAATTATATTTAAGTATCCTCCTTGGTAAACAATAAAGATGATTTTTCTACTCCACGAGTAGCCAGGCAACACATTTGTTTAATAATGATATCTTGATTCACATAGACGCTTGCGCGTTCTTATGAAACGAACATTTTTCAAAGAAATTGACACGTTCGTAAGTTACCACAGGTTCGGAAAGCAGTTTCTGTTGAGAAGAAACCGGCAAGAAACTCAACAGTTGCTCTTTTTTAAAAAATCAGTTTACAATATAATAGTACAGATACAATAGTCTTGTTTTAGCCTACGTGAGTATCAACAGTATTAACCCCACACATTGGCGTCAAGATATTCCGCAATAGTATAATAAGGTTTTAGCCATAAGTTTTCTCGTTTAAATTCATCAATGATGACGATGACGATGACGATGATGATGATAATAACGACGATGTAGATGATGAAGATGATGGTGACAGTTATGATAACGATGACAATGATGATGATAATAACGACGATGTAGATGATGAAGATGATGGTGACAGTTATGATAACGATGACAATGATGATGATAATAACGACGATGTAGATGATGAAGATGATGGTGACAGTTATGATAACGATGACAATGATGGTAATAAAGATGACGACGATGACGACGATGGCTCACCCCCTGGCGGCGAGGTATCGCGCGGCGGGCGAGTTGCGCGCGATGGAGCCAGCGGGCGAGATGTGGTCCGTCGTCACCGAGTCGCCCAGCAGCAGCAGGCAGCGCGCGCCCTCCACGCCCCTCGCCACGGGCGGCTCCTGGTGGCATACAAACGCCGTGTGGCAGCCTCGAACCGGCCATCGCAGTGGGCGCGAGCCCCCACTGCGATGGAGCGACCGCCTGGGCAAATCGATGGATGCAGGTCGCCCGGGATCGTGCTTAGTTTTGACTTTCAACGAGGGCTTAAAACAAGCCGTGCGTCGAATAGAGACATTTTGACTTCGGCTCGACTTGAAGGGGCGTTCCGGTGCGTGAAGGCGCGAGGCGCAGGCTTGAGGTGGGGGGGGAGCGTTCGAGTGATCCCTTCTTCTTCTTTCTCGTTCCCACACCAACAAGGACCATGTGGCAATAAATGTGATTCGTCTCCAGAGACGGATATAGATACGTCAGCATCATTAGGAATGACCTGACGGAAATTAGTGGCCGTTTGACCACCCCCCACACCCACACACACACACACACACACACAAACGCACACGCAGGAAATATTCTAGCAGGGCTTTAGGAAAATCACCTTAGGTCAGCACAAAGCCGAAACTCGAGAAGAGAAGACCATCTCGACATCGACGTATATCCGCCAGTAGTCTCCAATGGCGATTTATGGAACGGGCCATCAAAACCGGCGCGAGTTCCCCATCTAACCCTCCGAGTGGTGCAGGGTTCGAATCGCAACAAAATTTTCCAACAAGAGCGGGTGGTATCTTATCAAAATTGTCTAAATAATCTTTTACCTTTTTACATCGCTCGTTGGAACACCCGAGGGTGCTATAAATACCAACCGTTGCTCACAGATCCGTTGCAAACCTTTAAGAGAGTGAGCCCCGATCACCCCACTGGCCAAACGAAAAGAGTTCATGTCTTCGATAAGGTAAAGGTACTTCTACAAAGAGCCTGCCCATTTATGCAATGGCGAAAACCACTCGTGGCAGCAGCTGGTAATTGGTATGCACGTGGTAGGGTCACGACCCAACCACACTACGACCTCGACCTTAGGTTAATCGGAGACCTGACCTCTTGGTAAGGGGCCGTCCCTTAACCACGTGAGGTTTTTTTAGCATTTCTTAACCCCCTCCCCCCCATTTGGTGATATGTGGTGAGCTTTAAGAGTACCCCAACAAAATCACGTGCATATCTAGCACCTACCTAGGAGAATCTACAACATATTTAAAATATTATCTTTAAATATTCAGGTCTAGAGTATACTCTAATATTATTTCGAAATTAAGGACCATGATAAAAATGTAACGGCGAGTCAAGGTCAGACTACACACTGCTTTTCGACACGCGTCAGAAATCACGCGTTTGACGGAAAAATAAATACACGTGACGTACTACTCCCCCCCCCCCCCCCCCTGTCCATTATATTTCATGGTTTTTCCAACCCCCCTCCCTTTATTTGGAGCCCCGATGGATGGCCCCAAATATAACACAGTCAAAGGTCACGCAAAGGTCGAATGGTCGAGCTCATCCCCTCCCTGCCCTCACCTTGGTCATTCCGTCGAAGAACGGGGGCTTCTTGATGTAAGTGGAGTTGGGGTCCCAGTTGTACAGCTTCCCCTTGGGCACGTCCAGGGCCTGCCACGCTGGGGATCCGAGCTCGATCCTCTCGTACACCTGCAAACGGAAGATTATTAAAATCTATACGGGGTGATTTTTGAACGAAGTACATAAATACATACATACTTTGATATAACGTTAGTTGAGCATTCCATAATTCAAAAAAAGGTATTTATTATTTTATTTCGACAAGAAATATACCAGAAAAATACCAATTCAAGCATTGTCTGTTTATCCCGTTAAGAGTGGTCACCCTATCGATAAGCGGTTCAGTAATTACGCGTTCAGCGAACATTTTTAGTGCTCGTGAATAGGTTATTGTATAGAGACGGTGAGGCAGTATTTTCTTAAGGTGTCCATAATGTTTAAAAAAAATTAAAAATTATCTTAAAAAAAGTGCGTACCAGATTCAGATTTAGAATCACACTAGCTGCTGCCCACGACAACATCTGCGTAGAATAGGCTGAAGGCGTAACATTCAGACAGAAAGAAAGATATACATCAAAATATGTACATAAACGATGTATAAGCTATATTATTTTAAAGTTTCATTAGAATCCATTCAGTCGTATTTGCGTGAAAGAGTAACAAACGGGTAAAGTAGAAGTGTTACACTTCTGCGTTTCGTCTGGCGAGTGAGGTGGCCGGAGCCCAATTTTCAAAAGGTTGTCAACGCATCTGCAACCCTCGGGTGTGGCAGACGTCCATGGGCGGCGGTATTCACTTATCAGGTGAACCGCCAGCTCGTTTGCCACTCTCTCACATAAAAAAAACCTTGCTGCAACCTCTCCCTTGTCTCTTCCGCTCCCGCTCCGACCCTCAGAGACCTGGACCCTGGACCCACCTCCTTAAACATGCCCGGGATCACGTGCTTGTCCTCCACCAGCTGGATCTCGGCCCTGGTGGGCCAGATGTCCCTCAGGAACACCTCGCTGCCGTCCGCCCTCTTCCCTGGGGAATGGAGACCGGCATCAGATCAGAGACCTCGCTGGCTCAGTGCACGGGGCGTTGTGGGTTCGATTCCCGCGCAGAATTTCGCAAAATCCGGTATGGTAGTTCGATGAAACAGATCACTTTACGGTGATCTCACTTCTGTTGTCTTCTAGTCTCACATTCCCATTCTATTTAGTAAAATATTCCACTACATTACGTTCTGCTCAGCGGTGAAGGGAAACGTGGTGATGAAACGATCACGATATGTGAAGTCATCTTACATCATCGTGTTGTCCTTATCCCACCTAGGTGGGGTCGGCGCAACACGTGAATCGTGTTCTAAGCGGTTTCGGTTATACTTTATTGCGACCGGCCGGAGGATGATGAGATGATGATGTGAAGTCCGCCGGTCCGCAGTGGGGTCGCGCGGTGCACTGTGCCCCGATATATATATCGCTGTACAGGGGAGGCTTTTGCCCAGCGGTGGGACATGTATCGGCTGATGCTTTACTTTACTTTGAAAATTGTTCCGCTTCACACTATATGACATATACAAGCGAATGTGACAGATGATGTAGAACGTATGTGACGCAAAGAGTTAGCAGTATACAGCGTGTCGTTACCATCGCGACAATAAATGAACACACATATAGGGGATAACTTTTTAAAGTTGTATTAAACATTTAAATTCTTTAAACATCAATATTTACAGAGTTATTAAATTTTTCAAAAGTCGGATATTTAGAACACCCTTACCTATAAAAGCGTAACGTAAAGTTCATTTGTAAAGGTCACAAAGCATATGAATGGGTTGAATGAATTTAAAAGAGACAAAACATACTGTTAGAAGGAGAGGCTTGTAATACGACGCTGTTGCGCGAGTTGTATAGGATGTTACATATTTTGTTTCTTTTTTACTTAATTAGTTTGTTTGATTATTGGCAAGTAGCATTAGACGTGTTCATTTTTTGTCGCGATGGTAACGACACGCTGTATAGAGTCGCAATCTAATCGCACCGATTGGCGTTATTCGAGTGCCTCAATTTCGGTGCGCTAGTGTCACACATCCTATTTGTATATAAAATCATTAATCCCCTCCACCACTAGGGATGCCGAAAAAGTATCGATGTTTTCTCTTCGATCGAAAAAATATCGATATATCGATATATTTCATCAGATTCGGCATGCCCACCCACCGCCGCTCCCTCTCGGCTCCCCAAAGGAATCGGGCATCGAACCCGCAACTCACCCAGCGCTTGCTTCTCAAAGTCGATGTCCACGGTCCCGGCGAGGGCGTACGCTATCACGAGCAGGGGGGACGCCAGATAGTTGGCTCGCGTGTTCGGATGGATCCTGCCCTCGAAGTTCCTGTTGCCGGATAGCACGCCGCAGCAGACCAGCTCGTTCTAATGGTGGGGCGGGTTAGAAAGAAAGAAAGAAAGAAAGAAAGAAAGAAAGAAAACATCTATTGCAGCAATACGCCACATGCACATTTAAACCGCAAACAGAAAAAACAGTAAAGAGAAGAGAAAAAAAAATGAAACATCACACATTTTACACACACACACACACACACTTGTGTGTGGCTGTGTGTAAAATATAATAGTATACGGCAAACAGACCACACTCAGCTTAATGCTGCAGTCGATACGAGACGAGACTACAGCGCTGGTTTTCAGTGGGCCTGTGAATTAAGTGACGTACGGACGTCCACACAATCAATGATGGACTGATAATAATAAACATAGAATAATACCATAAGGTATTAGTTGGCAATAATATAAAAAAAAACATTACGCGATGGTACCCTACAAAAATACTTCCTCACGAGTATGTAGTCATAACCATAATATCATTATAAACAATATTTGATTACAAGATATAAACATGTACTATAATACCAGATTACGCTGGTATTAACCAGGGCACGCTGCAGCCTCGGCTGTTGCACGAGTGGGCAGGCCCGTCCGGGTGAGTACCACGACCCCACAGAAGACCAGGGTCAAGTGGAAGTGTGGATACTTTCGCGTTTCGTCTGGTAAGTGAGATGGCCGGAGCCCAATTTTGAAAAGGTTATCAACGCATCTGCAACCCTTGGGTGTAACAAGAGTCCACGGGCGGCGGTATTCACTTAACATCAGGTGAACCGCGGGGCGGTACTACTGATACACGGTAAAACTCTGACTTTGTTTGTATAATAGAGCCCAGGGCCGTTACTTAATCTCTAAGTAACAAAATATATCGAGTAGTTTTAGAGTATACTCTGAAGGTATATATAACTATTTTTAATATTAGTATAAGTTTAACATATTTTTGTAAACTGTATTTTATTATACAAATAAATGAACGAACGAACGAATGAATGAATTAATGAACGAATGAATGAATGAACGAACGAACGAACGAAAGAACGAATGAATGAAATAAAACTAAACCCACCTTCTCTATGGTGTTCGCGATGTTGTCGTCTATGGGGCCAGAGTTGCCGATGCAGGTCATGCAGCCGTAGCCTACCACGTTGAAGCCCAGCTTCTCCAGGTACGGGACGACGCCAGACTCCTGGAAGCGGGAGACACCCGGTAGATGCTTGGCAAGCTAGCGAAGTTCCCTAGCTATTGGCTGTGCGGGAGTCGTGGGTTCGATTCCAACAAGACACGTATTGGAACTGCGCAAACGTGCTTAAGCCGCCTGTGTCGGTTATAACAATAGTGTATTGCCTGGGTCGGTTATAACAATAGTGTATTGCCTGGGTCGGTTATAACAATAGTGTATTGCCTGGGTCGGTTATAACAATAGTGTATTGCCTGGGTCGGTTATAACAATAGTGTATTGCCTGGGTCGGTTATAACAATAGTGTATTGCCTGGGTCGGTTATAACAATAGTGTATTGCCTGGGTCGGTTATAACAAGTGTGTATTGCCTGGGTCGGTTATAACAATAGTGTATTGCCTGGGTCGGTTATAACAATAGTGTATTGCCTGGGTCGGTTATAACAATAGTGTATTGCCTGGGTCGGTTATAACAATAGTGTATTGCCTGGGTCGGTTATAACAATAGTGTATTGCCTGGGTTGGTTATAACAATAGTGTATTGCCTGGATCGGTTATAACAATAGTGTATTGCCTGGGTTGGTTATAACAATAGTGTATTGCCTGGATCGGTTATAACAATAGTGTATTGCCTGGGTTGGTTATAACAATAGTGTATTGCCTGGTTCGGTTATAACAATAGTGTATAGTGTTGAATGTTCGGGTATTAAATTTCAACAAATGTGATTGGATCAGCGAAAGCATCACGTCATAGGCGGTGCCGTTGATTGGTTGGATATGGCGTGATATAAATATTATAGTAATGATAGGTGACTTCTTCGTCCATACCACGGATGACTCTACAGGTGCCGTAACATATAGTAACACCTAGTAAATATGTATAATACTTATATAAATAAATTAGTAGTATACTTCGAACTTGTAACTAACACCTAGTAAATATGTATTATGTATTAACTTATATAAATAAATTAGTAGTATACTGCGATCGTTTTACGTCATCAAACGTATAAGTTTAGCGAGAATGGCTATGTTGGCCTATATCTTTTTGCATTCCTTTTGAATAAATAAATAAATAAATTAGAAAAAATGCACCAATGTTCCTTGAAATATTCTAATCAACGGGAGCAATGCTATAAAAAACAAAGGGAAAATGAGATCGTAATCATGTTACTTATGTCCAACCTTTGTACCAAATGTTATAGTGAGTTTGATTATGTATGCTGTGTTTGCTATGTATGCAAGTGCAATCATTTTTTCCGTGTATATTTCGTCTGTAATCATGCCAGATTGTGTTCAGGTCAGCAGACCTAATAAACATAAAAAAAACAGTGTCCGCACAAACCGGACCTTCAGATAGTAGGTGACGACGCCGGACCCAGGCGATAGAGAAGTCTTGATGTATGGCAACACGCTCAGACCATTCTCCACGGCCTTCTTGGCGAGTAGACCTGCGTTGGGTGGAAAAAGAAGACTACTGTAGTATTTTCTAATCGAGAAGGTGTCAAGCGAGATGGCATTTCACCCGTTTTGATTAAGATTTGTTGATGTATTTTACGTTCATTTTTGGATTTGAATTTCTCTTTTAGAGGTAGTTTCGTGATTTTTTTTCAATCGAGAAAATATATCGGGAATATGTTTTGAAAACAATGCTCCATTAGAATGTAAGATCAGGATTAACATATATTTCTTTTGCTGCCATAAAATGTGTAGATTTTGCTAAAAAAAAATCTTTTAAAAAACCTATTTTGGTGCATACAGCGCCTATGTGATAACCGCCGCCCATGTAAAATCGCAACACCAGTGGAATTGATACGTTGCCACCTTTCAACAGAGCGTGCCCCGGCTACCTCACTCGCCAGACGAAACGCAGAAGTGTAACATTTCCAATACACGCCGGTCACCTGTGAGATCATGGTACTTACCCGGACGGACCTGATAACAACACATATGGTATTTACTATGTTTATCTTTTTTCTTTTCTTTTTTTTTTTTTTCTTTTTTTTTTTTTTTTTTTAAAAACATTGCCCTTACTTTAGGATAATACTATCCTGTGTTGTAAGGACGTTTTACAAACATAAATTTCACGTGGACAAACACCCAGATGCGAAACGACTATCTGCGGGTCACACAAACAGTTGTCCCGTGTGGGAATCGAACCCACTACCCCCGACGCCGAAGCCAATACCTTGGCAACTGCGCCACGGAGTCATCGCAGTTATCAGTTATATAGTACCCATAGTGCAACCGTTGCTTACTTTGGGACTGGAGGACGTTGTGTCAACATGTGTCCTGAAAAAAAAAATTATTTCTCACCCAAAAAAAAACACTCACCCGCGCCCAACATCACGGTCGGGTTAGAAGTGTTGGTGCAAGAGGTGATGGCGGCTATTATCACGGAGCCGTGGGTGATGGTGTATGTCTGTCCGTCGCTGAAGGTGAAACTCCCGGAGGCTGTCAACTGCTGCGGCGTCAGCCCGTATCCCTTGAAGCCGACCTGGAGGAGACTGTCCACTGAAGTATGTGCTTTAAGTGTGGCAGGGCCATGCAGCGGCCTCGGCTGTTGCACGAATGGGCAGGCTCGTCCGGGTAAGTACCACGACCTCACAGAAGACCGGCGTCAAGTGGAAGTATAATACTTTCGCGTTTCGTCTGGCGAGTGAGGTGGCCAGAGCCCAATTTTCAAAAGGTTTTCAACGCATCTGCAACCCTCGGGTGTAGCAGATGTCCATGGGCGGCGGTATTCACTTAACATCAGGTGAACCGTCTGCTCGCTTGGCAACTTTTCACATAGAAAAAGAAAAAAAATGTTACGGGAATTAGAACAAGTACATTTTTACGCAAACATTATATACGTCCCACTGCCGGGCAAAGGTCTCTGCTGCAAAGATTGTTGTTATTAGGGCATCGGTCATTGGGCGTAAGACAGTAGCAGTGTTTTATTTTTTTTATTTTATTTTATTACAAACAAAATCCACAGCTCTTTGTTACATCGTACGTACATCTTATGATCTTAAATTATAGCCAAAAACGGATTTACATTATTTAAATAGTATTTTCAATTTATAACGGACATGTTGAAGACAAAGTAGTTGGGACTAGAATACATAAAATGTTTACATCTTTCGAAAGCATAGCCTTGACAGCTCAGTGTCCGGGCGCTCGCCTTTAATTCAATATACTCGAGCAACCTGAGTTCGATCCCCGGTGCCGGCACCAATGAAGTTTTTAAGTTTAAACCTGCATATTTTCGAAATAACAACGAAAAAAAAATATTTCGAGAGTATGTGAAGTCCGCCAATCCGCAGTGAGGCCGCGTGGTGGATTATGCCCTGATACCCTCTGCACAGAGGAGGCCTCTAACCTGCAGGGGGACATTTAAAGGCTGTATACTTTGCATTTTTTTTTTCCATTTCGAAAATATGTTCGTTTCCTCGCGAAACTTTATGTATAACTTAGCCGGGATTTCAACTCTGGCTGCTCGAGCATATTGAACTAAACGCGACCGCCCGGTCTCTGAGCTATCACGGCTCAATCCCATCAACGGTTTCCGTAACCTATTACAGCGGCCAAGAAAAACATCGTGTGGTAACCCGCATATATTCGAAAAATTACAGATATGCTGTCTGCCTATCCACAGTGGGGCCGCGTCTTGGACTGTTCCCTGTACAGAGGGTATCCTCTGTACCTTTGTCCAGCAGTGGGATATGGGCTGTTACTTTACTTAACAAATAAACCGCCTCTCTTCCTCACAGTTCGCCCGTGACACGAATTAGACAGAAGCACGCCATGCGGAAGTTTTTGCTATAGTGTAACGGTGACATCGCAAAATGAACTCTAAACTCTCAGCAACAAGTGCTGTCGATGTTCGCACTGCGAGAGTGCAGACTCTGCACATTTGCAACCTTGCAGAGTGAGGATTGTTCGTTAGGTATACTAGTGTTCGACGGCGGTTATGCTCGTTTATTAAATTTAGTAAACAAATGAATATTAACAAGTTTGTATTAAATGAAACTAGTTTACCGAATTTATATAAATTATAAAATTTATATATATATATATATATATATATATACAAACAAGTCTGTATTTTTATTAGTATTACACCGTACAGTAGGATTACATTATCCTATATTATAAGGACGTTTTACACACATACATACATTTCACGTGGGGATACAACCATTCCGAAACAACCATCTGTTGGTCACGCGAATAGTTGCCCCGTGTGGGAATCGAACCCGCTACCGCCAATAGCTTGGCAATAGCTTGGCAACTGCGCCACGGTGTCATTGAAAACATTCAAGTTCCGCTAAATATAGACTACTTCCGCTAAATATAGGGGCTTGTAAAAAAGTCCGTTTTTTTATTGACGTAACACAAAATCGACTTCAAATATCTCGCTCTGTATTCATTTTACAATTGATCTTCTGGGTCTATCTAATTATATCCGGAGCCAAAGATCCAATACCGATGAAATTAATACGGGACCGCATGGTATGCACCAGCTTTCAAATGAAATCATATTGTTTTCTTGATTTTACGCGAATATTATACATATTAAATGAATCTACTTTACGGATTTTATCGCGTTTTTTATTTTAATTTAAATTCCCGACGTATCGAACCCTTTCCAGCGTTCATGTTCACGGGACAGACTATATAAATATAAATTAAAATAAAAAAAAAACGCGATAAATTCCGTAAAGTAGTTTCATTTAATATGAAAAAAGAATCATCAAATTCGGTTCGCCCGGTGACAAAACATAAAAAACATACAGTCGAATTGGGAACCTCCCTCCTTTTTTGAAGTCGGTTAAAAAGACGTTCTTAGGGTCGACAGGTAACACATAAGTCGATCGATGGATAACATTATTTATGTTACGAAAATCGTCTGTATCCCTTCAGGCATATGTGGCATACAGACAGACGGGCACACACAGCTTTCGCACTCAAAAGATTTTATGCGATAGAAGTGCTGTCGGAGAAAACAGCTGACCGGGCAATTGTAATATAAAAATCGGTTAGCGCGTGATTATTTCTCATTCGGCATAGTTTGCGGTCGATCGCGTGCGCATGTGTGTTTGTTACTTGCTATCGTCCCGGGTTCGAAACTAGTGCAGAGGGATAAAGGTGAGTGGTGAGATAAAAGTATTTGTGTACGACGACCCGAATGGCGTAGCGGGTATAGCTGCCTCATGCGCCAGAGGGTGTGGGTTCGAACCCCACTACTGGAAAAATATTGTGTGATGAACAGTGTGTTGCCAGTGTATTAATGTTTATATATGTATATTACGTATTTATTTGTAAAAGAAAATTATGTTTAAGTACGTTTCTCAGTTATCTACTACCCATAGTACAAGCGTTGCTTAGTTTGGGACTAGTCGTTGTGTAGAAATGTGTCAAAAAATGTACGCACAAATCAGAAGATTTTTAGATATATTCAGCAAATCAAATCAAATCATTTATTCATCGAAATAAGGAATGTACATTTCGTCTGTCGATAGTCATTTTTTTTTTAATCTACCACCGTCTCGTAATGAGAACACACTTTCACGAAGAAAGGGTAAAAGACTTCAAATTTTTGGTGACTCCGTGGCGCAGTTGCCAAGGTATCGGCTTCGGCGTCGGGGGACGTGGGTTCGATTCCCACACGGGACAACTATTTGTGTGACCCACAGATAGTTGTTCCGCATCTGGGCGTTTGTCCGCGTAAAATGTATGTTTGTAAAACGTGCTTACAGCACAGGATAATCTTATCCTAAAGTAAGGGCAATGTTTTAAAAAAATAATAATAAATAATAATAATAATCGTTTATTGCCAAGAAAAAATAGATTGTACAATAAATTTAAATGCTCAACAAAAAAAAAAGAGAATTTAAAAAGAACATTAACAATGTTATATAAAGACAAAAAATTTTACAAAAATATTAAAATTACATAGGGATTTAAAAAAAAAAAAAAAAAAAAAAGCTCCTTGGCAAAAGGTGGAAACTCAGCTTATGCTACAACTGACGGCATAAGGCTGACTGTGTAGCGCTGATTTTCAGTTTCCCCTGGCCCTGTTGTTGTTATAGAGCCGCGATTAAAGTTTCTATTGGTCGGTACGAACTTCGAAGAAATAAATAAGGCAAATATTCTTATAATTATTACATATCTTACATATTTACATTTTTTTTATTATATTTATTCTACCATAATTTGATTGTTACGTATAAGAGTGTGCGTGAGTGTGACGCTTCTGTGCGAGGGTGTGTGTATGTGAGTGTTTGTTTGTGGAAGTATTCGTGTGTCAGTTTGCGCGTGATATAGTGTGTGTTAATTTGGGATGTAGTAATTTTTTTTAAAGGCTGTTTCAAGTTTTCTGTAAGCTTCTGTTGCTTTATTAAAGACTCCTTGTAGTTGCGCTTAAAAGTTTGTAAGCTGATTTTTTTTCGCATTGGTGGAGGTAGATTGTTCCAAATTTTAGAAGTTTGATACTTGAAACAGCCTTTAAAACCAGTTGTTCGGTGAGAAGGGATTACAAGTAAATTCATGGCCGCTGCACGTGTAATTCGCAAATGTATATCTTTTACCCAAGTTAGTTTTTTCGAATAAATATTCGGGGTTTTTATTCCATATGACTTTTTGTACCGTACACGCTAAGTGTAATTCTCGTCTGGTTGCCATATCCAGTATACCTTTACGATTTAAGTGCGGCAGAATATGTTCTCTCTTATTTATTTTGAAACAAAACCTTGCATAGGCATTCTGTACTCTTTGTATAGCTTGAGCAGTTTTTTGGTAAAGTCTTGGTCCATATATAGCACAGCAGTAATTAAAACATGAAAGGACTAATGTTTCAACCAGGAGTATACGTGTATTTTCACTTATATAATTGCGTAATCGATACAAATCTTTTAGTTTATAAAAGGCAGTCTTCATTCTATTACTTATATGGCTAGTAAATCGTAATTCACTATCGATAGTAAAAATTTAAAAAAAATTTGTATTAAAAAAAAATATCCCTTCCAATTAGAGCCACTGTATCCTATCGGGGTCTAGTTGCAGTCCACATCTATATCTATGTAAACAGGATGGTGGGGCGGGTGATACTCACACACAAAACTTGTCTGCTAGCACGCACAGAAATTCCCTTATCTATTGTACAGTTATCAATTATGAACGATTGATACTATGAGTTGTTCGACCGCAACAACGTTGGCCCTAAGTCTATTTTAATTGGGCGCGACCGTCACTCAGTGAAATCGGACAGAACGAGAAGCGGCGGAAAAATAAAACGAATCAACTGCGGTAGGGCCACGCAACAGACGCTGTTGCACGGTTGGGCAGGACCGTCCGGGTAAAATTAAAATAACAGCCTATAATGTCCCACTGCTGGGCAAAGGCCTGCTGTACAGAGGGTATCAGGGCACACGAGTAGTCCACCAAGCGGCCCCACTGCGGATCGGCGCACACCAAATGGTAATATACTAATGTTTAAACAAGTATTTGTCA